CCCCTAAACCCCATGCGATCCGGCACCCGCAGGGAGCCCTTGACCTTTTTCCCGGATCTTGCTGTTGCCTGGTTTTTTTTCTGGGCGGCCTTGACGCAGCCGCCTCTCTCATCTTGGCAGCAGGACCTGGGAACCTTCTTTGGAGCCGTTTGCTCAGGCATCTACCCTCCCGTCATCTCATGAAGCCTGCAAACTACCTCCGGCCCACGGACCGTTTACAATGACAATGACGAAACCTCCATTCAACCACGCACAAGCCATCGGGATCCGCCTGACCAGGACTGCCCCATCTGGTCTTTGCGCATAAAGAAACGATCCAGAGAGCTGATGTTTTCTGGGCACAACTTTCTTCGCAGGGATTCATCTTGCGTCTCAGGCCTCTCAAGAATTTCAGGCAGCCCCCAGCTCTAACAATAGGGTTCATGGAAAGCTGCCGCACACTGGAGCTTCTGAATCACAGTTGCCGCCAGGCATCCCGAAAACTCAAGAACTTGGAATGGAACCTGCGCAGAGGCGGAGGAGCGCGAAGCAACCAAAGCCACACTGAAATACGCAACAGCTCATCAGCCCCCAACTCCTCAGCCCTCGAAGCTATGCGAAGCTACTCAGGCGACTCAACGCTAGCCAGGCAGCAAGTCCAAGTTCTGCGCTGTTACGTCTGGCTTGTCCAGCATGCCTTCCGCAATCTGAGCCACCTGCCGAACACGGCCCATGCAGCCCAATGCCCATGCTCAAGTACAATTCCGCTGCCTGCTTCTCCATGAAGGCCCTGATCGGAGGCCGGCAGAGCCTTGGCCAACACATAACCCCACACAAGCGAGTCGAAGAATTCTGTCCTTGTTCCTTTCGGGCTCGTCTTTCGATCTCGGCAGGCACACTGCCAACATGAAGTTGGCCGCCGAAGACCTTAAGCCTTAACCTCTCTTCGGCACGCATTTGCAGACAGAGAGCTGCGGATCCAGCTCTTCAAAGGCAGCCAGCAAGCTCAGCCCCATGGGTGTAGGCACCATGTGCCTGCTGGGAGGGGCGCCTCTTTTCAGGACTCATCAGTGCCCAGACAGCCAGCAAGCCCTCGGTGAGGTCCCAAGCAGGCCTGGATGCAGGGCGTCCATCTTCGCCTTTGCCACCCTTCCCTTTGCCTCCGCACGCGGAAAGTCGGTCTGCATATTGGGGGCGGGGGGAGGGAGGGGGATTGCGACGAAAGCTTGGGAGCAAGATGTGCCGTGGCCCTTCTTTTTGCGGACTTTGAATTGCACCATGAAGAGGTCTCGTGCCTCAATTGCCGTTGCAGCGAATGTAGCGATACAACAAGCACCCTAAAGCTCCCCCTGTGGTTCAGATTTGCGCCCAAGAAGGAGCTGCGGGGTTGGAAACAGGTTCGGTCTGATTAAAAAACGAAGAGAAAGAAACAGAGAGCGCCACTAGTAGAGCGAGCGCGGGCAGGTGCATGCCCACCAACATCCCACAGCTCTGATGGCTTGCACGTTTGTAATCTCCTGACTCCGTCGAACGGAAAGGGGCGAAAGCAAAGGGCTGGGCTGGGTCCGTTGCAACCACCTCCAGACCCTTTGGGAAAAGCCCCGATGTTGACAGTGCAATCCTGGCCTCACGGGAGGCTCCCCTTCCAGGTAACATCTTAAGGACTGCATCATGGGTCAGAGGCTCCCACCCCTTCAGGGTTGGGAGTAGGCCCGAATGGCGGGCACTTCGCTCAGGCGCGCAGCTTCAGGACTTGGCACGTCTGGGGTGTGTTTTGCTTTTGGGAGTGTCCAGAAGCTGGGGTCTGAAGAGCTGAGCACGATTGACAGGCACAGGATCAGGCCTGTCTGGAAATACGTGCTCATGCGTGGTGGGCGCTGGCCAGGGCCGCTTTGAGATGACACGATGCCAAAAGGCAAAGCCTGTTCAGAGCATCAAGCCAGCCCCACAAGACACCCCCCAGGGGCATGCATCGTTTATGCACGCCGGCCTGGGTTACTTGAAAAGTACCTCCAAGGGTCAGAAGCACTTGAAATCAGCAAAAAATCATCCGTCACAGAGGTTGCTGAACAAAGCCTCTGCATCGACGGAATAGCACAAAACTGTCTGCCCAGACACACGCTGTACCCAGACGGTACGCTAAAAACCAAAATTCTCAGGTACTCTGGGTGCTATGGATGCTGTGGTGGCTCATGGAGCTGCTCTGGTGGCTGCTGGATGTTCCAAAGTCATCGCCCTTCTTCCCCAGAGCGCTGGAAAGCGTGCTCCGGATCGTTCGCTGAATCATCTTCTCGAGGTGATCTTTCTCGTCCGACTCTTTCTCCGGCCACGGCAAGGAGGGATCTGTTTGACCTCCGAAGCGCTCTATTTCATCCTTGGAGATAGGATGATCCAGGGCAGGCTCGAAGACTTTGATGCCCCCAGCGAGGCCGATGTCTCCTTCACCAAAGTCCACACGTCGATCCAGCGACATCGAGGCCATGAACTTCTTCCAGCGGCTTGAGCTGATGCCCTTCAAGGTTTCCATGATGATGGTGCCCCTCTCCAACCTGGCGTGGCCCTGAATGTCTTCGGATAGTGCCATGTAGACACCACAGAACTGCGCCACCAGGAGGTTGTAGAAGCAGGTGTACACCAAAACGCTGTACAGAAGAATGGCCATGAACATGAAGGTGCTCTTCTCGGCAATGACCTTCATCTCTTCCATGCTCGTCAGCCCCCAGGCGATCTGAATCAGCATTTGCAACGTACCGCCGATGTCCTCAAAGTCCTCGAGGCCGACCTCTTCGACCTCTCGGGCCATTGAGGCGATGGAAAAGCTGAAGACTACGATGCAGGCGGCCACGGCGCCCAGGCACAGCAAGACCTGTCCGATGGCGCGCGAGCACAGCACCTTGTACTCCGACATCTTGATGGACACGGTTGCCAGATCCAAGACCAGCATGGAGAACAAGAAGACCCCGCAGACGGAGAGGATCTGGTAGAGCTGCTGCATCTCAAGCGTGTAGACCTCGCACGTCAGTGCGATCATGTGCTCTTGCGACACCCCGAAGCAGTGGCAGACCGGCTCCATGAGAAGCATCCCGAGAAGGTCGGCCGTGAGGGCCAGGGACACTTGCTGCTCCCACTGGGCGAGATAACCAGGAATGTGAAGACACCACTTCTTTGTGAAATCCTTTCTTGCGAAGGAGTGACAAATTTGGGTTCCATGCCAGAAGAGCAGCTGGCCCAGGCCGACAACGTAGACGACCATCCGGGCGATGCCCATGTAATTGTGCAGCTCCTGGTTGTCAAGATAGACCTTCTGGTTTAGCACACTTTGGGCGATGATGTAGATGGCGAATGATATCACGGTCCACGCGCGGTCCAGGAGGAAATGCCGCATCACGAGCTTCTCCCAGATGAGGTCCAGAGTGAAGACGAGGATGGGGTGAGTGATCGTGCGGGGATCCCGGAAATTGATGAAGGACTTCATCGAGCGCGACAGCATCTGAGACTCGTCCTGGTCCTGTGGCTGTGGTTTTGGCTGACCTTTGATCGTTTCTTTGAGTACAGTACCGTCTTGGAGTTTGAGTTTGGTTTTCGGTGATCTGTGATCGTTACTTTGAGTATGGTACGGTCCTGTAGCAGGTGCTCGAGGTAGTAAATCACAGGGCGAAGACCGTCCTGTGTCTTATGGGACCGCCAGATGAGGCCGTCCAGGAAATCCTTCGCAAGCGACGGCGCTTCGCGCAAGAGGTTGTCTACAACGTCGGGCTGCAGCCTGAAGAGCTCGTCCGCCCCGTAGTAGTACCTGTCCCGGTCTGCTCGGATAGTTAGGATGTCCTGCAAGATTGTCCTCGCTGCCCCATGGCAACCACTCCTCAGCGCCCAGTACAGCGGGCTGATGGACTGGCTGCCCACACGGACCCGCAGCTGCCAGTTCACACGTTGTGCGCGGGGAGCATCACGCAGAGCCCGTCTCAGGAGCTTGGAGTCATTGGCATGGATAGCCTGCATGACGGCTGTGGAGCCTTCAGTGATAGTGCGCATGAGAATTCGTGCGACCAGTCCTATGGACCAACGAAAGCCCTCGAGCATCATGTGCTCTTGAAGCTTGTTCTCCGCCACGTAGTGGGCAGCATCGGCAGGGCAGAGGACCTCCTTCGTCGAGATGACGCTGTTGGGCTGCTCTTCCACGATCGGCTGCAGCACATCCACGCAGGTGTCCGTGAACGGCCCAAAAAGGTCAATCGGCACGCCATACCCTACGTGCCGCAACCCCAGGGCGGAAAGCTCATCGACCATCTCACTTGTGTCCCGTTGCATCATGTCATAGGCACAACACAGGACCCGGTCGGCAATGTAGCGGAGCCTCGTTTGCGACTGTTTGAAGAGGTCCTGGCTGGCAGCGCACTTTGCGAAGAACTTCGCGTAGATAGTTGTGCGGAAGGTCTCCTTGTGCTCCTCGGTCATCCCGGCATACAGCTGCGCGTTGTAAGGCTTGAAGGCGCGCACTTTCATCGTGGACTCTGTGAGGTTCCTTGAGATGGTGGCCCATAGCCACTCCCAGGCTTCTTCGTGTGCTGTGCTCCACGTCTTGGGAAGCAGGGATCGCAGTGCTGCCAGCATCACAGGCTTGAACCTGTCGAAGTCGATGTTGTCCGACCGTGCCACCATTGCCAGTGAGAGCAGGTCACACTCCTCCACGAGGTGAGCCGGGTTGCCAACGCGCTCCACAAGCACTGGGAAAACAGCCAGGAGCTCCTCCATCCAACCTTCGGTTGGTTGACCCATGACCTGGTTGGAGAAGGCGCACATCTTGGGAAAGCTGCGCACCACCTCATCTTCTATCTCCTCATTCGCGGCGTTCTGGATCTCATTCCAGTCACCCTCAATGAGTTTCAAGCGCTTGCCATACGTCTGCTTGACGTAGCGGAAGGCACCACCCACATACAGCAGGACCTGCCTCCACACTGCGCCTGCGCCGGGCGGCAACTCCTGGGCTACATGCTGCGTCAGCACCTCGAGAAAGGAATCGGCCGCCAACCCGGCACGCACCTGGGTTACCTCAAACTGAAGATGTTTGAAAGCCAAGGTCTCGGTGTAAGTTCTCATCCCGTCCGGATCGTCGGCCTTCTCCACAATCATGCCGAAGCCATTGAAAAGCCGCAGAGCCATCACTGCTCGAGGCGTTGAAATGAGATCCTTCAGCACAATCAAAGAACTTGTGAGTGCCGAATACAGGATGTCACCCAGATCGCTGCCGGCAGCGTCCAACAGCTGCTGCCAGGAGCACCTCAGGATCTGAACATCGTGGCTTGGCATCCTTAGCAGCTCGAAGGACTCCCCGAACATCTCATCCCCCTCCATCCCTCCAGGGATGTTGCTCATACCATCCGAACCGGGCGTGATGTTGCTCAAGCCATCGGAGAAGCCATCCGATTTCGTATCCAGCTGCTCTGTCTTTCCCGACTTCTCCTGGTCCACCTCCCGCTCCACCTCAGCATTTTCTTCCATTGCTGCAAGACTTAGCTTGAGCAAGGGGAGAAACCCAAACAAATTGCTCAATTATCAAAGAGCTTGAGCCAAATGGACTTGCCCGGTACACCATCTGGCTTTGGCTTGGCCGAATCCCTCTGAAAGCAGCAGTCCGATCCCTCTGCAGAACGAAGGCAGAAATAGAGCTTGGACAGAGACAGGCCTTTCCGACCTTTGCCCTTGCCCCCCTTGGAGATGACTTCGCCTTCACACCAGATCAGCTTTTGAAGGGATGCCGCCAGGAAAAGCATCGCCGGGTTCTCCACTTTCGATGATATGCCCCTTTCTACGTTGCCCGTTGTCAGATCTTCAAAATCTCACGAAGGCCCTCCCTCGCGACAAGCCTTTCGGTAGATCCTGATCCCACCAATCACACATACGGCAGGTCGATCCCAAAGCTCTTGTTTTTAATGGGGATGCTCCTCGCTGGCCATTCTCGCCCGGCCCGCAGATCATGACGTAGTGCCGGTCTACAACGTTCCTGCGGCTTTCAGGGCTTCAGGCGAACGGGTGTAGCACCTTTCACTGCTAACACCTGACGACATGCCCAGACTCGAACAACAACGACAGCTTTGCGCTCTATCACTGCGCCGCTGAGCGTGGCCACTTCTTCCATGTCAAGCCCCTGCCCATACATCCGGGCATTGCAGCCTTTCTCTCCTGTACCTGAAAGCCTCAAACCGGTCACCAAACTTCTTGGCCGAATGGCTGCATGTGCTGTGGGATGGACGCATCTGTGCCGATGCCGTTCTTGTCCATCAGGGCCACGAGCTCACTTTCCCTCCTGAACTGCTTTAGGCATCCCATCAACATCCATGAACCTCCCTCTCTAAGCCCCTCACGCCGGAATGAAACGCTCTTGGCCCGAACAGCCCAGGCTCAGGTAATCGGGAGGCTTCGTGGTGTCACGGGCCACGCCGACCTCATCGACGGATAGCTCGTCACCCTCCGCCATGTCCTGGGCACTTCTTTTGGGCTGAAAAAAGTTTAGAGGCTGAACTCAGGGATTGAGGGTTCAATATGGGCTTCATAAGACCGTCTATCTGGGGGTGCGCTCTTGTTCCTGGTGGCCGTAAGATTGCAGTAGCACACGTCGTGTCTTGTGGGCGCAGAACAAATTCCGAGGTACCGTATGAGGAGCCACCTGTATTGACAAAGAACACACCCTCATTGACAAACCAAGTGGTCTAAGGGTGTCTCACCACAAAATGCATTGTTGGCCCATTTCTAGCCGAGAAACCGGCATCTCCCAGTCGATCTCTTCAAGCTTCCTGGGACATGGCCAAGCATCACGGCCGCACAAGTGAACACCGCAGAAGTGGCCAGAAAATGCTAAGGGTACCTCACATGTTAGGTGCTGCAAGCCTCCCTCTAAATAAAAGCACAAGCTTACTCTGCCGGGCGTATGCGGATGAGCCACAGATCATTCGCTTTCCATGGCATGGCATACAAGAAGCCGCGCTCAGCCACCTTGCTCCAGAGAAAGATGCAGGCAGCTAACTTCAAGAGTGGATTCATTGTTCTTCGATCCTATGTGACTTCTACATCAAAGCAGGTTCAGACTTTGATGTTTGGCCTCGGCTATACAAAAACAAAAACACACCAGAAATGAAGGAACTCATGTCATTGCAAGCCGACCTCGTGGTAGGTGAACACGAACCTCTCGCCACACACGTCAAAAACGTAGCGTATCCTCGGCTACTGGGACCCTGGGAGCACAGCCAATCGGGACCAAGCCAGCAATGCAACACAAGCGTTTCGGCTTCAGGTGCTTGTTGCATGATGTTGTCGCATGGCTACGTACTGAGTTGCCATCCGGTGTCTCGTCGTACTCCGCATCATCCATCAGGGATGCGATGAAGTGACGTGTGACATAGTCGTACAGTCGCCACTCCTTCCCCTTGCTGAACTCGTCCTGCCATGGGCCACTTGAAGCTACACACATTGGCACACACAGCTCTCAAAATGCTTCTGCCAACTGAATACCTTTCTGTGTGTGCGTCCTTTGGTGCCGCCCGCATCGGCGTGATGGGGGGGTGGTCGCCTGTCACAGGCAAGCTGCGTTCATGAAACTGTCGGTGAAATGCTTCTCGTGCAAGGCATAGCAGCTACATACTTGCAACCCAGAACAATCCACAACGTACGGCTCGCCTTTGTCTGTACCAGAGACTGGGGAACGCATGCTTCCTTGCCGGAGCAAGTAGCTGACCGTCTTTCCTGGGGCTGAACTCATGGTGATACAAGGGGCTAGGTTAACTCACCTCTTTGCGCATCTCCCCAGCGAGCGAAGTCACATCACCCAGCGTAAAGTCGCATCACAGAGACATGTTGAAGCCTTTCCCCCAAAGTGTGCACACGCCGCACGCGCATGTTCTAGACACACATGCAAAATACGCACTTGTCACCACACGCCTGGGAGGGGAGCACATTTTTGTCAGCGTGAATGAGATTTCTGGTTGGGGGTGCAAGCGGGTGCTGACTGATATTGGAATTCGCGAATTCCCGGTGTGCACGCCGCCCGAGATACGACTTTACACGAAAAGATACGCCTTAACCTACCCGCTTGTACCTTGCACTGGGCACCACCATTCTATGTGAGGAGGATGTCTTTCTTTACAAACCTCATGTTATGGGACCGAAAAACTAACAAGACATCCTCCAGACAAGGGAATGTCCATGCTACACTATGGATGAGTGCAGACCCGTCCCCGCCCCCCCTCAACAACAAAATGCCTTGCGCCGGAGATCCCCAGGACGGGTGGTTTGCCTGCTCCCGCAGGGCCCCCACAATGTCGAAGGTGTCGGAATACTTTGTGGTCTCCTTGTGTTGGCAAGAGAGCTACTTTATACTACTACCGTCCATGACCTCCTCATGTGCCTGTGCAGTATTTCTGGGGTTAGTCCGTATACCCTCGCGACGAAACTATTCGAGTGAAATTTGTTCGCCTCGGCCTTGGCCGATCCCCCTGCACCACAGACCAAAGCACACCAAACATCACCAAACCACCACGCCAGATCATCACCAAATCCCCCCCTCTAACATACTTCCCTCCGGTTCGGTGGCTTCTTGGCAGCTCCCACCACCCTGCCCAAGCACACCAATTTGCATCGCCTGCTGGCACTGCAAGCCTTCACTGCTAAACAAGTCAATCAGGCTTCAGGGGTCCTCAAGCCTCAAGCAAGCCTATACTACGTCCCCGAAGCTCACTTGCTCTCGGGTTCAAGGTTTCGGTCTTACAAAAGGTGTACAGGCGGGCGGCTCTCCAGCGTCTCTTTCCTCGACCCGTGGCCACTTTCCATATGCCATTATGATTCGTTCAGCTTTTAACTCGCTCGTTATGCAATGCAGCTCTTTTCTTCAGAGTTGTTGGTCCAGTACACCCGGGGAGGGTCGACACAAGCTCACAAGCTGACAACAGGCAGGGTGCCTGGCGGCGGAGGAAACTTGCCATCTGCCCCCCGAGTGGCTGTGCGGGGATATGAGATGTAGCCGGATGAGTACAAGCCCTCGGCAACCTTCATGCACCTGGGCTGGTCTGAGATGCTGGTTGCAAATGCTCGCGTTGCAAAAGCTCACGCTTTCAGGCATGCAGCTTGAAGCTTTGGGATTTGTCGGGGCTTGCTGCTCTGCAACTCAACCAAGAAACTCAATCACTAACATCAACGGACTCAAGTCCGCAATGCTCGAACACCGCCGAAGCTCAAAAAGCAATCAATAAGCAACACCCCACCCAAAGCGCAGACTGCCGTGCTTATCTAGACCCCGCCACTGTGCCGGAGACATGCCCAGTCCAGTGGAAGCAGCCTCTGCGTGCAGGGAGACCCTAACTTCGGCTTGCTGCCTGACCTTTAAGGCTTTAAGGCTTGCCAGGAACACATGGGGGCTGAAGATCGCTTCACAGCCTCAGGAGCCCTGTAGATGCAAAAACCAGTGCCAGCTGCAGCTCCTAGAAATACGCCTCGCAGAAGAGCCCCCAACTCCAAAAGTCTCTAACCAGATACGCAGCATGCGAATGTAGTGACTCGTGGCCTTGAGCAACTGGACCGTGTTGAGCCCCACCGGCCGCCGCGCACGCTTCCTGTTGTCGGGAACGCTGCCGTGAACTTCCAGTTTCCAGAAGTTTTAGCTTCTTGGGGGCATGCTAGATTTAAGAGGGTGTGCGCATTGTGAGCGTGCGATGCAACACTTGGGCTCGTGGGCGTGCATTGGCCGCGCTTCCGTGACGAAGCTGAAGAGAAGAAGCTGCCGTGCTGGTTCGCAAACCACCCGAAGCCTGATAGGTTCTTTGAAAGACCTCAGTGTCTCGCGCGGCATGAAGCTCCCCCGTATTTCCCAGTCCGAGCCTTGTAGAAGTCACTTCCAGCAGCGAGGCCTAAGAGCACTGCTGGGTGCAGGACGTTCAGGTCACCCTAAGTCGTGACAGGTCGGGGATTGAGGGACGCACTGGTGCTTCCTACAGATGCACATCGAAGCTGCAAGTCTCCGACTTCAAACATAGGATGCATCATCGGTGCCGTCCCTGCCTAGCTGTCAGATCCGGGTGCGAACTTGAGACTTTAAACCAGAGCTTCAAAAGCCAGGTGACGGTGGTCGCGCCCTGGTCAGGCAACCCCTACGCTTCGACGCTTCAAAGGTACTTGCCAGGCTCAGAGCTGCATCTCAACTTCTTAGTTGCAAGCTGCAAAAAGCTAGACTCTATGATGTCCGGATCATCAACTTGATCCGGACCCTCAGACCAGCTTGCAAGGACGGGAACTCCGGAAACCCACATTTGCCTGCAGCACCTGTCCCAGCTGTTGCGATCGCCCCGCATCCAATGTGGAGCCCTTGTCAGTGCTGAGTTTCAGGCGAACCGGAACTCAACAACTAGAGAACAAAACTGCTGCAACATGCCCCATGCGCTCAGAGGCTTATCCAGGGGCACAGGCTTTGTCAAATTGGGTCAGCGCGGGTCCCTGCCTATTGTTGGGCCTTCAATACCTCCAACCTCCAACAACCTCGGCAAGTCTTTAATCAAGCGTTTCTGCTTTAGAGAATAGTTGCCACCCCCTGCATTCACACTCCGCTCAGTGCCAGCACCGAATACGCAATGATTATCGGCAATGATCCAACTAATGACATGCAAGCTCTTGCAAGCTCTGTCTGCGGGCTGCTTTTGCCAAAAGAGGCGACGTCGACATCCCATTTCAAGCCGACGGCACCTCCTCCCAACTGAGCTCAACAGGATAATCCTCAATGTTGACCTTCGTCACACGTGTGTTCGTTGTGGCTGTGGTTTCGGGATAGTTAACAGACAGCACAAGTCATGCCGGAATGCATGCCTCAACGGACTGTTGAAGGATGGGCCTGTGGAGCAGACCACAAAGGATGCTTCCCGTTAGCCAATACAATACTTTTCCCTGTGGTGGGGCTTTGGTCCGCCTGAGGATCTCTGAGAACCTTAAGTGCAACGCACAGCTTTGTCTTTACGAAGCTCAGCCCGGAGCGGTCACCGTGGGCGTGAAGATGTCCTGGCGCCGGAACTGTTCGATCTCCTTCGGGCCGGTCAGGGTACCCTAAAATGATATCTGTGACAGGCGAGCATGGCTTGAAGGCAGCGAACACACTGCTTGCAGGGTTTACTTCGGGTGGTGCAAGGGTATGGGTTCACAGCGCGTTGGAAGCGTCCTTATGCCTCTCCACGCAGAACCACAGCGTGGGGGTCTGGCACGGGCCGTAGCTCAGGCAGGTCTGATCCCAAACGCGGAACTTCTCCTTGGCGAAGTTCCTGGGTTTGACCAGGGGTCCCTTGCATTCTCCATAGAATCACACACACCCCACCCAGAATGATGTTCTCTTGAAGGGTCAGAAAGGTGCGCGTCATCAGCCGCGTGAAGGCCACACCGATCTTCAGGTCCAGCTCCTCAAGGAGCTCTCAGAATAGATCAGAGTAGTGCTTCTCTTTTAAGGGTCTTTTCAGCTTTGCCCTCTGCCGAACTGACCATGCAAGTCGCGAGGCAGTAGCATCTTTCGCTTCATGGAACAAGGCCGTCGGACCCCAACCACCTTTCAGCTTCTGTCTTAAAGTGGGAGATATTAGGGGTTCTCCCAGCGCCTACTTGAGTGCTGGTGTATGGCCCCGTGCTTTTCTCCAGAACATTGCTCTTGGAGAAGAAAGTGGGTGCTCTTTGCTCTTTGGGCTATGTGTCGCCAATCCGAAACAAACAAGTCTGAACTCCCAGCGATTCTTTGCGCCCGTTTGCCCACTTGGGATACGCGGCGGGCTCCTGGCGCGCATCCACTGCCATGGCCAGCTGCTTGTCTGGGCGCCCCAGGGTCTTAAAGGCAGTCCTCGGCATCTCATAAGGAACTGCACTGCACAATGGTTACCTGTAAGGGAGCCCATGCAAACCCCTTTCTGCGGCAAAGCTCCAGGCAGATGACTCTCAAAGGTTCTACGGGGAGGTCTTAATGCCTTAATGGGAAGACTGGGGAAGATTTCGCGTAGGTTTTGCGCATCAAGGGCCACCACGTTTGGGAAGCGACCGCCTAGCGAAAAGCGAAAGGACAAACCAACAAAAAACATACAACGACAGTCGACGGTCAAGTCTGGGAGAGGAGCAGGTTCGGGAAACTTTCATGGCCGGGAGGGGAGAGCCAGGCAGCTTGATCTCTGGCTGCGTCAGTGCCGAGAAATGTGCGCGATACACATTCTCCTGGCTGTCCATGCAAAATCTATGCCACTGACTTGGAGAAGGAACAAGCTGTCCCAAAATGCGAGGCTTCCCATGCCCCTTCCAAGAGAATGGAGATAGAAGCCTGCACAGTGAACCCCCAGAACGCACGGCTGCGCAAGGCTCTCCTCTGGGATGGAGGAGCACAGCGACATCACCTTGCCGGGTTAGAGAAGCAGTTTGGGCTCATCACCGGATTAGGTCTGGACATGTCAGGACCTCAAGCCTCTGAACAAGAAATTCTGGAAAGCATGTGGTACGACCTCGATCTACGATAGTTCCCGAAGACCCGAGCTTGGTCAATTCTCCTGGGCCGCATCGCAGGACTCCGGTCCACATCTGCCTCGTAGCAGATGTTCTCGCCCTCGCGGTCGCAGTCCAGCCAGAGCGCCAGGTACTCGGCTTCACCGGCAAGCTCTTGGATGTGCTCCTGGGGGGCGCTTGTTCATGTTCTCAGCAGAGCTGCCCGAACAGAACGCTTTGCCCAGCTCAAATGCCCTGAACACCGCACTAACCCCAGCACACGTAGTAAATGAGAGGCCTTACATGTTTTGATGTGAACCGAACTCGTGCGCTCACGACCTCAGGAACTGGAGCACATAACGACCTCAGTAGCTGGAGCACACAGCGTAGAGCACCAACCGCTATCCGAGCTTCCACGATCCGATTTTTGGCCACCGCCCCCTCCACCGTCTTCTTGACATTCGCATAGAATAGGTCCGCCAGATCGTAGGGTCTGCCATCCTGTGCAAAAGAAGAAGACTCCTTGCAGAAACGCTCCTGGAGCGTCCTGCCGCCCACAGTTCTTACCCGCCGTCATCGTCAAGGCATGTCAAGGCTATGTTTCCCTGCAAGCTCTGCAATCTGAGGTTCGAAGCGACTCTAAGGTTAGCACTGCTGCAGATGCCGAGAAGGGCCTCGAAGTCAAGCCCAAAGATGTGCCCGATGGTAGAAGTCTGGAGGATGCGACACTTTTGCTGCGCCGGCGGGAACCAGGTCACAAACCTTGATCACTTGATCACAGGAAGCGAGGCTGCGCGATGCTGTTGGGTCGTAGCCCATTCGCCAGCTACGCGGCTGGCCAGACACGAACTTTACTTTACCGGAGTTGAGTGTCAGACCCCGCATCTCGAATTGACTAAACACGTCGCCGACGCAGCCTCGGCTCAGCGGACAAACAGCATATCCAGGCCAGGAGGCTCGAAGATCTGCACGGCCCGGCTCTGCCCTTTGCGAAATCGCATGCGGCCATTTGAGAGGCTCCTGAGATGTCCAAACGCATGACTTTGGGGATCTTACAATGGCTTACAATGGCTTACAATAGCTTACAATGGCTTACATCCCAAAACAGGGATGGGCCTTGGATTTCAAGAATCCAGGTTTGGGGAAGCTTCGACTCTGTCAGGGTGATTCAGTGCTGCAGAAGGGCTCGGCCACAAGCTTCGCCACAGAAGGCTTCTCGGCGACCATGAGCACCTGCCAAAGACCGGCCGGGACCGTCTCTACGAGCCGCAGACGAGAATCCGATGAGACTAAAAGAAGTAGTCCTCGCGAAGAAAAAACCTTTACCTACGCACAAACTCAAGCCCGCGCGAAACGTTACTCTGGCACTTGCAAAGCCACACGTTTTCAAACCATCGCACGCAAGTGCAAACCTACGCAAACCTGCGCAGAGGACAACCTACACGGAGCTTTTACAAACCCACGCGGTCGAGGCAAAAACCCTCCTCTGACCAGCCTATATAAACTGCTTTATATAACAAAGCAAAGGTATACTCATCATATACATCACATCAACCGCTGACCAGCGTGTACATTCTAATTACCGGGAAACACGCAAGCTCGCCTTCGGCAAGTCTTCCCAGCGCTGGTCGCTCTGCCGCGCCTGTGCCTGCCGCTGGCGCACACGATCCACCTGAGCAGAGGCTCCGCGAGGCGCGACCCTGGGCACGGCCACTTGCTGGATTGGTTCCAATCTACTTTGCCTTTCAGAATTTCGCTTCAGCGACGCCTTTGGAAAAGGCGCCTTACGACTGATGATTGCTGTGCAGCTTACGCCCGGCAACATCACGATCACGAGTTCTCTCCCCCTCTGCACCAATACCCTACTCGACGCTGCTCACTTCGCCATAGTCGGGGCTTTCCTTGACCAGGTTTGCCTTCATGGGTCTGCAGGAGGTTGGGGTTTAGGAGGGTTGAGCGCAGCTTCTCATATTTAGCAAGTCTTGGGCACCACCCTGGGTCCACACGCACGTGGATGTGAAAGATCGCCAAGGCCCGCGGTAGCATGTCCGAGGTGGGATGTGAAAATGTCGCATACTCGAAAAAAGACTGCATGTTTTATCGGAAGGCACCAGCTGCTGCATCTCCGCCGGAACCGGGCAGTTGGCCTCCCGGGCTTCAGGGGCGTATCAAAAGAGTTCATGGGCGCAGGAACCGTCCGCCATCGTCCGCCTTCTCCATGACCTCCGCGATGCCGACGGCCTCCAGAAGACCAAACACCCAAGTCTTCCGCAGGGTGCAGTACATAGATGAAGGGCCTGCGAATTTTCTGATATGCGTAGGCCCGTTTTGCTTGCCTTGTATGCGTCCTCTCCAGATCGCGTGAGGAAGGTTATGCTGCGGCCTTTCCTCAGCTCAGCACTACTTCAACTTTGGAGCTAGGCTTCAGGTCTGGGCGGAGGTCGTGCTCCACCGTGTTTACCATGCCATCACGAGGTTGCAGCTCAAGAGAACCCTGCAAAGCCATCCTCTGCCACTGGCGGACAAACTATGACAAACTTCCAAGCTTGCACGGGAACCAGTACGTCAGCTGAAACGCTGACAAATTTAGACGAAATGCTAGTAATACATATATATATATATATATACATTTCTAATGATGTCCCAGGCGCTGCCCAGCACGGCCGGTGCGCCCGATCCGATGGACATGGTCCTGGGAGGAGTGGCTTGGAAAGCTCCAGGCCTTGTTCTCGGAAGAGCTTCTTGGCCACCGAGTTTCGGTCCACACAGCATTCATGCGCTGGAATGCCTACTTCGGAAAGACTTGAAGTGGCAAAGCCCCTCTTCCCAGCCTCTGTGCTGTTGGCCGGGTCGTAGTTCCTCGACAACGAAAACACCCCCCAACACCCAAGTTGAATGAACAAATTTTGCGGCTAAGCTCTGTCGGATTCTCGGATTCTCGGATTCTCATGGGTTCGCTCTGCTTCGGCACCACACCACTTTTCCAGGGTCTCCTAAACCTTTCCTACGAATACCACATCGCGGCCGCTTGAGTAGCTTTGAAGGGTTGCTGAGCCTTCACACACGACACCCCAGGCCCTTGCTCAGCATCAGTCCCACTGAACCCATATCATTGAGACATTGAACTTGGCATCTGACCCCCTAAGATTCCCAAAGATCCCAGAAACAATGGGATCCCATAGCCCCATGAGATCCCAATTGCAGGCACCAGCGTCACCACCAAAGCGATACCTTTCACGTCCAAACCCCGGGCCGCCACATCGGTAGCCACGAGCACCTCATGACCCCAACGTGCCCGCAGCATGTGCACTGTGGGGTTCAGGGTTTAAAGTTGCAGCATAGCTTACCTATCCCGCCCAGACTGCCCAGAAAAGAGCGATCTAGCCCGCAACGTGACCTTTGTGCCACCGGACCACAACCTCTTTTTGAGGAGGGACTGCAGTGCGACTTGCCCTCACAGGACCACAACCTAAACCCTGAGTTCTCCCCTTCATGCCCTAGCGTCGGAAGCGCTGTCAATTCTCGTAAAAGCCGAAGGTACCCCCCCCCCCCGGTTCTGGAGCCGCGGCGCTCGGGCCTCACCGCTGCGAAGCTGTCGCAGCGCCTCCTCGCGCTCCTTTGGCTTCCAGGCTCAGCATCTTTGCATACTGGCGACTGGCGCACACACGCGTACACACACACACACACACAGAGTCGGCGTAGCGGCTGCCTACCGAAAGCTTCGGCCTGACACGCCCTTTTCGGACCTGACGCTCCATAGACCCTGAAACTCTACGGGGAGTTGTGTGGTTGGAGCCTCCAGCGTCAGATTTTAAGGTGCAATGCACCATTGTCCGGCGAAGCACAAAGCACGGGAAACCCTGGTTCATGCTTCCTGCTGGTCTTTGTCGCTGTGCATGGCATTCGCCACCACACCATTCCTCTGAACTGGGGCTGTGGACTGAGTTCGATCGGGAGTCTGAGTCTGAAGCCTCAAGCCTCTTTGGAGATCATGCCATGATGCTACGCTTCCGCGTGATAAAGCTGCTTGCACCTTCTTCGGCTTAGGGGAGTTCAAGCTAGAAAGCGGGTGCTTCCATCGCCAAAAATGCCATGGGAGCAGCAAGAAACATCTTTGCGTCACGACATTCCAGGAGGGCCTAGCTTTGGAAGTCGTGTAGTTGTTGACGAGTGCAAAGGACAATCCAAAATTCCGAAAGCCCACAGCAGAGCTGCTCCTCCGAACTATGTCCTGATTCTGCCCAGCGGGCGGAGGGTTGGGGGGGGGGGGGGGGGGGGGGGGGGGGAGAAGGTTATGTTCTCAACGCAAGAGTTGCAAGCCATAATGCCGACATGAAGAATTAGATCTAGAGCAAAAGCCTGTTGCCCATGAGTGGACCTGAAGGCATGACTTCTTGGCCAGGGGTCTTTCGCAAAGTGCGGGCCACGAGATCGCAGTGCTTCCTGGGCAGGCATGTTAGCTGCGGTTGTAAAGTCACAAGGCTTCCTGGATCACCAGGCTACATGTGCAACAAAAACATGTAAGGAGCGCAGGGTATCAAACAGAATGGATGAACGCAACTCGCCCTCAACCTTGGAAGGGAACTAAGCCGCCGAGCTGCTTCATGGCCACGAAGACCAAGACGCGCTCGTCGGGCCGGGTGCTACGAACTGCCTGAGAGGATACAGGGACTGCAGGGGGACTGCAGGTCCCTTCCGCATGAGAACAAACCCCTCTCCACAAACTCCACCAGACTACACCACTAAGCTGCAGGAGCTTATGCTGTGTGCCTCTTTCCGTTTCTGGAGAAGGTCAGGGTGTTCAAGGTTGTTTTGAGAGTTTCGACGTTCAAGGGTTTTCAGGGTTGTAGGGGCTGTCTTATAGGGTTTGCCGAAGTTTGCCCGAGCCCCAGGTCTCCCCCGTTGTGAGACGACCTCAACGCCCGCAGCCAAACCAGGTTCGACAAGCCTTGAGGAGCATCTCGTCCTTCTGATCATAGCCCAGCACCAACACCTGCTGGCTGATGTCTTCGTTGGCCTCTGGCGACAGGACAAGTTTTGAGGAGAGCCTGCTTGGGACATGAAGTGCTCCTATGGCCTTGGCCCTGCGAATCTACTCCGAATCGTAAAAAGAAACACTTCTGCTTCTCTCAAGTTTTTTGCCTGCAGAGCTGTGGGGTCGCCGACCTGGATGTGAATCGGGTCCTTGAGTGGGTGCGAGGAGGTGTGGCTCAGGGGTCTTCACACTGGCGTGCATGCATCGGGCACGTCGGGCACGAGGGGCAAAGTGCAAATCCTCGGGGAGCCCGGGCACAAAGACTTTGAGACCTCTGTTTCCGCGTAGGGGATCAAAAAAATTTTATTTGGGATCAAAAAATAATTTATTTCTAGGCGGATCAAAAAAAAAACCTTATTTGGGATCAAAAAACAATTTACTGAAGGCTTCGAAGGCTTCTTGCAAGCGAAGCGGAGGCCGTAAACGCTCAGAAATGCAGCAGTTCTGGCCGTTCGCAAGCTCTAAATACCGGAAAAACACAGCATTTATGCAGGAACTACTGAAAATAGCAGCATTTCTGAGTTCCCAGAGAGGCTGCAGATATTGTATATAGCAGCACTTCTGCGCTTTCAGAAGCTGGAAATACTGTACACTGCAGCATTTCTGAGTTTCCAGAGGCTGCAAATACTGAAAATAGCAGCATTTCTGCGCATTTCTGAGTTTGCAGAGGCTGCAAATCAATGCTGGCATCTTGGCATTAGAAGTTTCCAAAAAATGCGTATACTCTGAAGCATGTATATTATGGCATAGTATTGTATATTCTTGTATAGTATTGTATGACATTGTATATTCTTGCATATTATTGTATATTGTTGTACATCTTGTTGAGTATTATTGTATTGTCGTGTATTTTCTTGTATTTTTGTATAATACTTTATATTGTTGCATATTATTGAATGTTATTGTATATTTTCAAAATTATTGTGTATTATTCTCTTTTTTGTAGATTACTGTACATTATTGTATATTATTGAGTTTTCTTTGTATGTTACTGCAGATTATTCTATATTATAGTATATTATTGTATGTCATTGTATATTATTGTCTATTATTGTATATTATTGTATACTATGTTACATTATTGCATGTCATTGAGTTTTTGTGTTTTTCTATATTACTGTATATTTTTGTATATTTTCGAAAATTATTGTATATATTGTTGTGTATTATTGTACATTTTTGTATATTATTGTATATTGTTGTCGATTATTGAATACTATTGTCAATTACTGAAAATTGTTGTAAGTTATTCTTGTTTTACGTGTATATTGCTGCATATTCTTGTATATACTTGAAAAGTGTTGTATTTTTGTGTATTATTATATTATGCAAAAAAGTGCTCGCATCATGGGATTGGAAGGATTCATGTGCTTTGAAGCAAGCTTGCCCGGACTAAGAAAACAGCGGGGGGGTTGGGGGGGGCGCAGCCCCCCCCCATTTGCAAACACAACGCTCGCATCATTGGTTTGGAAAGGATATTCATATGCTGGCTTAAAAAAACAGCGGGGGGTTTGAGGGGGGGGGGGGCGCAGACCCCCCCCATTTGCAAACACAATGCTCGCATCATGGGTTTGGAAGGGATTCATACGCGTTGAACAAGCTTGCCCGGCGCCAAACAAACAATAAATATGTATTGTGTATTATGAATTTTATATATACAAATAGCATTAAATATATACATATACGCTTTCTTACTACGATTTTTGATATTTTTTTATCATACAAAGGTATACTATACGATATTGTGTTCTATGATACTCTATTCCACTATATAATATCATTGTACTTTGTTTTAATATATACACATACATATATCATATGTTATGTTATGTTTTCCTACAGAACTAAATATACCATTATGACCAAAAAGCAATAAATAAAAACAAACTCTGACCACGGGACCGGGAAACCACGGGACCAGAGGACCGGAGGACCAGAGGACCACGTGACCAGAGGACCTTAGGAGCACAGCACCAAGCAACCAAAGGCCAGAATACGTATGCTTTGAAGCTAGCTGACACGACGTCTTCCTTGCTTTCTTTCTTTTGTGAAATTGCCTTTTTCTGTCTTTCTTGATTCCGGCCTTCCTTTTCCTTTTCCTTTTCCTTTTCCTTTTCCTTTTCCTTTTCCTTTTCCTTTTCCTTTTCATTTCCTTTCCTTTCCTTTCCTTCCCTTCCTTCCCTGATTCCTTGCTTCCTTGCTTCCTTGCTTCCTTGCTTCCTTGCTTCCTTGCTTCCTTGCTTCCTTCCTTCCTTCCTTCCTTCCTTCCTTCCTTCCTTCCTTCCTTCCTTCCTTCCTTCCTTCCTTCCTTCCTTCCTTCCTTCCTTCCTTCCTTCCTTCCTTCCTTCCTGTCCTTCCGTCCTTCCGCCCTTCCTTCCCTCCCTCCCTCCTTTTCTCCCTCCCTCCATCCCATTTTCTCTTTCTCCGTCGGAAGAACAGAATAAATTATTTTTTGATCCTAAATAAATTTTTCTTGATCCTAAATAAATTTTTTCTTGATCCTAAATAAAAATTTGTTTTTGATCCGCATCCCTGTTTCCGCGGCCCTGTCCTGAAGGAAGTCGTGGGCCAATGACTGGACCTCTTCTGGCCACGTAGCGCTGAACATGAGCCTTGCGCTGTTTGGCTTGGGGTCTAGACAGGAGTGCCAATGCTTCTTCGTCAACTTTTGCGGCTAGCACACCACATACCTTATGTGCTCTATCCGTACAAATGACACGAGCTACCGCATGGCGCTCACGATGCACTCACAGCCGGATCCGATGGTCAAACCGCTCTCCAAGCTCAAAACCCAACCGAAAGAATTAAACCCATGAGCCAGGCAGCGTTTGCCGCCTGCGAGGGAGCTGCTTCCTGAAAGGGTGCGGATTTGAAGGACTTGAGGGCCCAGGATTAAGGATGCATGAACGGGCATACCAGCGCTACCAAAACAACCACTACCCTGCCAGTGTGGCCACTCGCAGCAGCTGCATGCCTTGCATGATATGGTAAAACCAGAGATCGTAAAACCAAGAAGTCGCAGCTAAGGAGCACGATGTCACGAATCTGCGGCTCGAAGCCTGTGCATAGCGTGCAAGACTCTGCAACAGATTCTGCATAACTGCGCAAGCGTTGTGGCCGAACATCTGAGGAGTCAGGCGCGGAAAGCTAGGCCAAGGGGCCCATGTCCAGCATTCGATCTGCTTCGTCGAAAACAAGGTATCCAACGCTTTGCAGGGAGATCTGGCGGGACCTTCCAAGTTTTTGGGCTGGCACGGGTCAGGCTTCGGGGCTCAAAGCCCCATCGCACCCCGCACGAGTGCCGCATCCTAGGCGCTATATGGGGGACACAAGGCTTCTCGACTACCACTCCATTCTAGCTGGGCGGAGCACCAGCAAAAAAATGTCTTGGTGTTGCCTGGAGAGTGGGCAGATATGTTGGGGAACGATATGATTGTTTCCAAGCTCTAATGTTCGGTTCCTTGGACCACAAGTAACTAAGTAACTTGCCCACTCCAGACAGGGGTGCCATCCGAGTAGAAACTCTGGGGTGGGAACGAGAGGATAGTCATGTTGGTGCGACCCGAGTCACACATGGCGAATCTTTCAACATCAGCCTAGCGAGCGATGCCCTTTAATTTGTGCAGGCCCGGTGGCTCCAGGAAGTCATTCAAACGCCCAGGCGTGGCCACCAGAATTGGAGCTCCAGCACGGACAAGAGGCAGCTGGTCCTGCTTCCACCACACACTGCCCACTCCTTCTCAACAGGCAATCAATCTCAGGTACACACCCACGGTACCCCGACAAGGGTGTTTCGCAGTTCTTGACCGGCAAACCTGCAGGGACAACACACAAACGGATCGGGGGAATACCCACGAGGAACACAGTGAGGAACAAAAGGTCAGAGATTCGATGCTGTGAACGAGAAGCCGCAATAAACATGGAGGTTTTCCGGGCGAAGTCCTTCTTCGGCACTCCACCATACACCTCAGGAGGCTGGCTTTGGGTTGAGAGCTTGGCTATGCTTGGGTTGTGGCAAAGGGGGTACCACGACGAGTCAGCGTGATCACAGGCTACATTGCATGCATCTTCAGCATCTCGCCTTCTTGCCCTAGCCCAACATCCAATTCCCGCCCCAGATCCATCTCTGTCAACCACGTTGCGCAGGCACTGGTGAATTTGGAGGCTGCAGCAAACTTGCAAGCCTCGGGCCATCACACACACACACACACACACACACACGGCGGGGCCTTTGCGACTCCAAGGGGCTCAGAGACTTGAGGCGAAGGTTTAACGAACCTCAAAGGCTAGCGCCTTTATGCGAAGACTGCGAAGCTGTTGAAAGGTCCTTTCGGATTCCCGCACCCCAGTCGGCCTCCTCGTGGATCTGCGTGGCGAGCTCGCGCGTGGGCGCCAAGAGCAACGAGCGAACGCCGGGCCCCGGGCGGGAGGCCATCCTTCTTCTGCTTAACTATTACTGTTCTGGATTCCTTGCTGTACCTCTGCTTTCTGGCGAAACTCTTCGAGGTTCCGGCTCTGAGTCCAGGTGGCGTCTAAGATGCGATTCGGCTTCCGGAGCTTTAGAAACATGCACAGTCAAAGCAGGCACGAAGCAAGCTCTATACGGAAAATTGGGTCCTTCGGCGCAGTGGGACCCCGCAATGTATCCCTCATATTGTTGAAACCGAGTCTCCAGAGGTAGGCAGGGTAGAGGTATGCCAGAGTCTTGCCGGAACCCGTGCGTGCCTGGGCGCACTCGCAAGTTCGCAGAGGACGCTTGAAAGCTCGGCGAAGCTTGGTTTTTTTGAAGCCGGACTCATGACTGCCAGCAGACACTTGGTGCAAGGGAAAGTCACGCTCACGTCGGCTCTCTTAAGCGTGAACCAAAGCCTGGTGTGATCCAGGCCCGTGCTGAAGCTTACCATCCTCATGCAGCCACGGAGCTTTGCTGCAATATGTACAAAGCAAACTCTCTTCGACAAGCCTTCAATTCCCCATCTTTCCCCTCTTTCCTTCCAATCACACATAGAGCACCACTGCACCCTCCGGCTGAAAAAAACCTCTCCCCTTTGCATCCTTGCTGCGATGCCGATGACGTCTAAGCTCTGGCAGGCCACAGGCCACACCTGTGCCTGGATGGGCGTAGGCCTCAGCGATGGGTTCTGAAAACTTGCCACCAAAAACCTTAGGGGATGCGGGGCAAAAACTGCGAAGCGAGGCGAGAGGTATCCAATCTTCGATCCCGATAACCTGCCCTGCCAGTGGTGCCACTAGGCGCCCCGACGCAGCGAAGCCCAATCCGTAGAAGGCACGGCTGAGCTCTGGAGGCATTCGCCTGCCCACATGAAGCCAAGAGAATGGTTTTTGGAGTCAAGAGTACTTGTTCCGTGCGCTGAGCATAAGCTGCAGCCTCATGAAACATACTGCCTAGGGCCTAATTAGCGCCATAAGGTGTTCGAGGCCCTGAAGCTTCCAGAGGTTGCGGATGAGGATGGAGTTGACAAGATTTGACAAGTTCTGAAACACGTAGGTTCCTCTTGACTCTCTAGGCCGGCCCCTTGCACGCTGATCTCGAAAGAAGATCAGGGTATGCTGTACTGCAGAAGTGAAGCAAGGGCGGCCATGGCAGCAGAGATCAAGCCACGTCAAAGTTCCATGCTCTGCGGCTGCCATAAAGGCCACCAGATTGGCCACTGCAGTTGCTTTCAGCGATTTTTGAAGCCGGGGCACGCATCCGGGAAAGTGGCCCAAGGCGTCGGCACGGCCTCCACAAGGAGATTCGGCGCACACCCAAAGATGGCAAAAAGAGCCCTTAGAGGGGCCCTGAGGGTCTTGCTGCGCGCTCTTCCTGCCTTCTCGCCCAGCGTAGCCCAGGCTCGGATGCCCTGGGCGAGGCGGTAGGGGTCACTCTCCTCGTAGTCTGGGCAGACCTGGGCAATCGTCTGCTGGCACGCGCAGCCCCCGCCGGCTGATTCTACTTTTTGGCAAGGAGCGACCTCGGCCAGGGCTTTGACCTTTGGGGTCGCGCTCTTGTGGTGCTTCACCTGAAGGGTGACGGCTGGGCGATTGGGTTTCTTGACAACCTCGACAACTTCTAGCAAACTACTAGGAGACAGGGGCACAAAGGCTGAGCAACCGACATGCTTGCATTCTTTGGAATCTAACTTACACGACCGTGCTCAAAACCTAACGTACGGACCATCCCTGCGTAAGCCGCGCTGCGGCTGCCGCCATGGCGGCAAAGTCGTCGCTCTCTGGCGTAGCACGCTTGGTGCCTCCAGGGGTTTCGGCCAGGACTGTTGGGACAGGGTGCTCGTGTGCTCGTGCGCTCGTGCGCTCATGGAGCTCGTGGGATGTCTTGGGGCTTGAGGCAGCAGGCTTGCTTCTAGGGGAGCTGCTTTGCGTGTGTGTCGGCATGATGCTCAGCACAAAGCATTTGTGCGAGTCTCATTGTGTCGTGACTACCTTCATCATCGTTGCGCGCTGGTGGCTGGACATCCCCAGGATCGTTTGTAGCAGGGCGGCTTTGCAATGCAGACTTCAGCGAGCTTGTGAGATGGAGCTGTTCCGGTCCATCAACGCTCAGCATAGGAGCTTTGGATGTATCTGATCCCGCAAATGCCACATGCAAAGGTAAACCCCACTCAGAAGCCCACACGCAAAGCAAAGCCACAAGGACTTGTCCCAGGATGTCCCAGGCCTCGTCCTATCGATGACTGCAGGGCAGCCTCCAGTCCTCACAACAGAAACCTCTGCCACGATGCCCTCTGCTCGCAGCCATGGTGTCTCGACATGTCTCACTGCTCCAGCCAAGAAGCCCGCAGTAGAGCCATGAGGGCTGGTTTTTGCCTCATCTGGTATAACGGGGACAGCATGCCCCAAGCCACTTTAGCTGGCGACGCCTTCGGCGTCACCTTCGGCGCAAGCTTCGGCGCTGACTTGGCCGCCTTCGGCGCAAGCTTCGGCGCTGCCTTGGCCGCCAGAGGCGGAGCTTTCGACGGCGCCGCTGCCCGCCCCGCAGCCAATCCAGCTGCCACTGGCGAGGTTTAAGAGTGGGCTTTTAAGCTGTAGCAAACATTGATGAAGTCATGTGTCTGCGAGTCCAGTTCGTTCACACGAAAGTGCTACAACGCGGGCCTGACTTGCTTGGCGCGACGAGCACCTGCTGGGTGCAGTTCCAAAACATGCGGATGACACCCTGAAAGACATCAGAGGACATGCCCCCGACAAAACAATTAAGCTCGGCTTAACTTGTGGTTTTGCTGGTTCGTATTAGTAGGGTCATGCTCTTGCCATGTTCTGTACGAAAAGTACGTTAAAAAAGTACATTCTTCTGATGACTTCAGCAATGCGCCGCTTGCGGGGGGGCCTTTGGCTTCACGGGGTCTGCCGGCGCGGGCTCAGAGGAAGCAGACCCTGCCAGGACTCAATCTTCGAAGCCGAGTGATGCTGCAGAAACATCAAAAGACGTGCATAAGTCTATCAATGTCTATCAATGTCCATTGATGGCACTGGCCTTGTGCCGCCTTTGCAGCTGACTTCGCGCGAGCACCAAGCTTCCACGCCTGGGTCTGCGAGGGCCTCTCAAAAGCCTATCCTTTTGCGGCTTTCTCGGGTGAAACGAGGGCTGCCAGATCTGTCCCCGAATGGAACTAGCAAATGCACCGATGTTTTCTCATAGCCAAGACCATGTTGTTTCTCCTGACCTCTCAGGCCAGAACCTCTGATTTAGGCTCTGCCTTGGCTTTGGCCTTGGCCTTGGCGAGGCCTCAGTTGAAATCGCCCAAAGGTCTGGGATCGCATCAGCTTTGGCACTCTTGGAAGTGCTCTTGGTATTTTGTTGGCACAGGATCTGGGATGTAACGCCCGAGTTTGATTCACAACATGCTTTCGAGTGTCGCATGTCTGCTCGGACCCACGAAGCTACGACATTGGACACGCTGAACCCCAAAAGCCAGGAAAAACTCCCCGGAATTCTGAAATGCTTCCATTCCGGTAAGCCTGGGGAACACAATTCCTCAAACCGTTCTCGCAGCGTGGCTCTTGGAGGTCGGCCTCAACATCCTGAGCGTTTCGCGTGGCTTCGCGTGGCTTCGCGTGGCTTCGGCGCTCAGAATAGCTCATGAATAGCCACCTGTGAATTCGAGTGGGGCGCTCTGCATGATAAATAACTGACGGTTAAGATGCTGCACCGACACTTCTCTCGTTTGACCCGGCGGCCTGCCAGAGCCACCAGGCGCCAGAGCCAACAGAAAGCGCTTGCCATGCGCCGCGCCAAGCTAAACACCCTCCACCCCACCGTCCGTACAGTGTTTTAAACCAGCCCGAGGAACTTCAAGAATGAAAAACTAAACCAGAATCTAACGAAACCTATAGGGTCCAAAGTTCGGCTGGGATGCGTGCTTCATCTTCCAGGACACTAGATTTGAGACTCGAGATGCCCTACGACAGGGAACGGCCTAATTCAACAGCGTGCGGAAGAAGGCCGATGGAAAAGCAAGCTCAACATAGCTCAACTGTCCAACGCAGCTGACATGGTTTACCGAACTCAGACACCACAAGTGTAGACCCAATGCGCGCAGCCTTCAGAGGGCACCCCGTGGTGCGCTGCGGCGCAGCGTCCCCAGATCTCCCCCGGCATCCTCAGAGTGGAGCGAAGAGGCGAAGAGGCGAAGAGGCGAAGAGGCGAAGAGGCGAAGAGTCGGGAGGCTCAAATGATGGCCAGTGAAGGGCAGGGCATTCTGTAGTGCTTGGAAAATGCTGTTGGTGCGGAGGGGGGAGGCGGGGGGGGGACTTTCAATAACTCTTGCTGTACGGACCTCAATGCACGTCCTTTTCGAGACAGGGCTTCTTCGGCGTCCCCCTCACATGGATACGTCTTCAAGGTTGGGCTTAAGTTCGACTCTCGCACTAGCACCGCTGGTTGGGCTTAAGTTACGGGTCAGGGAGCCCTGATTGATCCCTACAGCAAAGGTCATGCATCCTGAGACCCCCAACGGCAAACCTGGATCTCTGATTTCTAAGCTGCTCGAAATCAAGCAAAACCCTGAACTTCAATTTGCCTGGCGCAAGATACAAAGCTTTCTTGTCCTCCCTGTGTCTTTTGCTTGAAGTCGCAGGACAGGGCACTCTGAGCGTCGACTAGGAAACCAGACCCGACGGATAGAGTACAGATGAGTGCACAGAGTAGCTGGTCATTTCGGAGGAGCTACGAGTATGGCTCGGCAAGTGACCAACAGTGACCTGGTGCCCGGTTTCCGTGCTACTCGTATGTACAGAGGCCGAAATATGGTCGAAGCCGTTAAGGAAGGCAAAAGCTTGGGCCTGCTTTTGAGAGAATGTACACATATTTACACGATACCTAATGCGTGAACACAGGAGATTTCGCAGGGATTGGAGAGAACTAGGCTCACTAGACTGCAACCTGCTGCCCGTCAGCGATCTTTGCTCGACAGGCCCTCCTTCCAGGAAATGTGGCGATGCAACATCTCAAGCCAACACAGATCTTCAAGCCTTTTAACCCCAAAACAGTCGAGGCCCCGTTGCTTGAAATACCCAGATGTGGCACCAAAACACCCTCTAGCAACAAAACCCGTTTGCTTCTTGCAACCCCGGGCTGCTTGAATGCTTCAGGCGAGGCCCAACTGCACGAAAATACAGTTTCCTGGTGCAGCTGTCACTTTTGGAAGGTTGAAACGTGAAGACACGAGGCGGCCGCGGCCAGTCCATGCAAGTCCCTGTGCCTCGTTCTTGCGCACGGCTGCATCCAAGGTTTTCCCAAACGCCTTCGTGTCAGAGCTGTGGCTGTTGGGTCGAGTCTACTGCGCACACAGACGCGTCACGCTGCACATCGCCAGTCTGGTTAAGACAGAGAGCGGCAGGACTCGGGGCTTGCTCCCCATGCTGGGAGATTACACCAAACTTCACAAAGCCCCCATTCTCTGCAAACCTCGCAATCCTCGACCCCGAGCCTGCAGGGAGAAGCAGCTGCTCGCTCGCTCGCGTCCCGCCTTGGGGTTTGGGGGAGGGTCGGGGCTGCGGAGCTTCGTGGCCGATTTAGTTCGTTTCATCTTTTTGCCAGACTACACCCCAGGAACGTTCGACAAGCTCGACAGGTGGTGAGCCACTTCACCATGACGAACTCCTACATTCGGGTGCTTTCTGCGAAAGCATTCGAACCAAAGGTTCTTCTACCCTTCCTCTTATCTTCGTTTGCCGAAAGCTCTCCGCCAGTACAACAAGTCGTGGGCAAGCAACAAAGAAGGACTACACCTTAAGGCCTCGAATATTGCTGCGAAAGCTGTCTGCTGCTTGAGGATTTTGGTTTCGTTTGGGCGATGCCATGAACAGAAAACCTCCCCCCCTCCCCCCATGTCGTCTTCAGGCCTCTCCAAATCGCTTTCGGAGCGCGGGGTCCTGGCGCTCATTCCATACCGTGCTGATTGACATTCTTCTTGCTTCTGAAAAACAACATAGGCATCACACGTTCACGTTGTCTCATGAAGGAATGACACGTCTCCCTTGAGATATTGTGGCGTGGCTACAAGAGCGCCGCAGATTCGAAATCCTACAACAAAAAGCCTAGCACTTGGGCCCTTCAGCTGCTCCTCCAGCAGCCGCTCGACCGCTTCGGCCCATGCCTGGCGGCTGCTTACTTCTTTGCAGAGGCGAGCTCCATCTACTGAGAATCTGCCGTCTTTCCGTGGGATCTTTGTTCCGAAGGTCTGCACCAACCCCCCCCCCCCCCAACAACAAAACGACGAAGCCCAGGCTCTGACCCTGCCTCGGGATCCTGCGGTCGCAGGAAGCCCGTCTCCTGCGAGGCGATGAAATGACTTGGGGCCCTCGGGGCGATTCAAGATGGGCCAACGGAAGAGTTCCTGCAAGTCGTCCCGTCTTCCACTCAGACTGCTAAGGCTGCTCATAAGACATGCCATCTTTTGCCTTTGCCAAAGAGAAAAAACAAAGGAACTCCGCTTCACAGAACCCCAAACCTTGTTGCAGCCGTGCCACACCATCGACGATGGACTCCAGGGGGCCGCCTGTATTCACCGCGACCACGGGCACCTGGGCCTCAGGTGCGGAGCCTTTATGGCATTGCGGAGCCTTTATGGGAGTTCAGGGGTCGAGGCCCTTCTGGGCTGTTGTCCTAAGCCTCGCCTCCAGGATACTAGCCAGGGCCGAACCGGCATTCTGAGAAGCGGATTGGACAAACCTCCTCTCGAGAACACTGATGGAAGCACGTCCGCGCAGCGCGTGCAAACCGCACGGCAAACTGCACTGCAAACGGGGTTGGGCTCAGGGGAGTCTTTCACATCTCCAGATTGCCTTCATGATTCAGTGTCGTCCTTCCGAGCACGCCAAAGGGTTTCACGTAATTGCAGCCAGCGGCATACATGGCCTCGACGGGCACGATTCCGAAATGCTCTCGGTCGGGGGTGTAGAGGAGGCAGGCCTCATGCGTGGTCTTTTTCACAGGTGCTTTGCTAGAATAGGCTTACTTCCTTCAATGGCCACCTACCAAGCTGACATTGGCCTCTTAAGGCAAGTTTAAGCTCGCTAAGGTTGCTGCTGCATGCCGCAGAAGCGTTGCCTTCTCTACCAGGGAGACAGACCTGACATGGTCTGCAGGCACTCTGTGCTTCAAAAAAGGATACTGTAGAGTTGAAAGATGTTGAAAGGCTGCAACCTGCAACGCGCCATGTGGTTCAATATGCTCCGAAGTACATGAATCACTGAATTTTTCTTCTTCTGCTATCAAGCACTGTCACAACGTGGCAAGACAAGCTCCCTTCATCCATGGGCTCATGCTGCAGACGCTCGAAACTGCACCCACTGTCCCATGTGGCCTCTTCTGCACAACTCGATCTGCAACCCCAAGGCTCGTCGCCAAGTCCTCCACTACTTTCAGAGCCTTACAGAGCACATTGACATCCTTGCTAGTGAGGGCTACCTCCCTGTTCATTTCAAGCCCGAAGCCCTCAAACCACTTCTGAATCTGATCCAGAGCCATCCTTTCCGAGTGCCAATTGCCGAGAACGTGTATTTCCACCCCATCTTTACTACCAGAACCCTCTCAGGTCCTCCAACTCCGAGGCGTGCTCTACGTTCTCGGGAAGGCGGTCGTCGTAGCCCCCGGCGAGGACGAGGCCTAAGCGTGCTTCTCGGGAGGCGCCAGAGCACATCGAGACGGGAAAAAACAAAACGGCATCAACCACACAGAGCAGCCGCCGAAAGCGGAAGATTCAGAGGACACGAACAGGCCGCTGCCAAACAGAACCAACTACAAAAAAAACGTGCCTGACCTAAGTACAGCGTACAATACACCAGGGCCTAAGAGTGTGGATCTTCCCTGTCGAATTGGAACACTATGCTGTGACAGGACTATCTTCGAATCTCGTGGGCAATATGTCCATACCGTGACGCTTTGTGTTTTGTTCTTCTTTGGCGCTGAAGTTTGCATGAATACCATAAGGGGCTTAAGAGTTCGGCGCGCCAACCGAAAAGGGGCCTTGAGGGTCAGGGTTAAGAGGTGTAGAGCCCGAGTTCGTTTTGAGCTGCATCCTGACCGAATCAACCCGCAAAGATGCCGCAGAGGTGTGCAGAATGTAACAAGCTCCCAGTGCTCCCCGCATGTCAAGACTGATCTTTCAAGCTGTCGGGTTTAGGGCCCCATCTCGTCCGAAAGACCCAACGCCCTCGCATGCTCTGGCAGCTGTTGCAAACTTCTGGGGCCCCCATGAACACAGTTGACTCCAAGCAGCGTGTCTTCCGCCGCGTGCCTTCCGGCAGCCGGGCCAGGGTCCTTCCCCCAGGGATGGAAAAAGGGCAACCGAAAGCATTTCACACCAACTGAATGGAATGGAGCCAGTGAGCGCCAAAGCGATGCAAGACATTCAGAACCATTCACCTCAGACAGCCTATTGCACGCTATTCAAACGCGCGAACTGCAGACCATGCGGGGCCTGATGGCCAGGCCCACGTTCTTCTTCCGCTCAAAACGATTGATGGACCTCGTCACAGAAGTCCCAACATTGACCCACTCAACCGATTGCACTCGAGGCTTCGGCAGGAGCAGCTGCTCCCCATCTGCAAGAACATCCAGGGTGTCGGCAGCCTGAAGAGGAGGAAACTGCGCAGTACGTACCGTCTACCGTTAAATGCCTGAAATTGAGGGGCAGAACCCGCTTTTATAGGGAACTCTGCCTTCTGCAAAGAGAGCTGCAAGTCGGGCCTTGCTGGCGGCATCATCCTGGCTCTGCAGGTCCAGCGGTGGGTAGAGCCTGCTGTGAATCCGAGCCCTGATCCTTCTCTCCCAACACCGCACCCTACCCTGAAGCTTCGGTATGCCGAGGGGCACATCCGGGATGACGCCAACCCGCGACCTCAGTCCAACAGGCTGCAGACAGTTCCCGACGTCGCAAGCAGGCGCTGTGCTTTCCCTTCTCCTGTTTCCGTGCAAGTGCTGGGGCCTGTGTTTGGTGCCAGGCGCTTGTGTCAAACTTCACGGCGAATCGATGATAAGCTTTACGCTCCGAGTAGCACAGGGTGACTCCGAGCTGACTAGCAAAGGTTCCTTGGTGTGAAGCACATCAGGGTCCGCGAAAGCCGCTGACCGCACCGCAGGCCCTTGGCCGCTTGGCCTGTTCCTCCATGCTCCCTGCTCAGATGCCCAGCACCATGTGCGAGGGAAGCTGCAGGTACCCCCAAGACTCTTGTTTAGAGTCACTTGAGGCCACTCAGCCCTCCTTTTGAAAACTGAATAGTCAAGCTTCTGGAACTATCCTCCCAACCCTCCTGAAAAGTCGCAACAGCCAAAATGCTCGTAAAACTTTGGAAACAGAATGCCAAACTCGTGATCCCGCTTCGGGCCTTGCTTCGTACAGCTGGGCGCTGGACAGTAGTGGGAAAGCGCCGGCGAAGACCCCGGCAGTGAAGCGCGAGTTGACAAAGATCTGGTCCGCCAAGCCTCTTTTTGGGGGGAGGTTTCGGATTGCCCGATGTGAGCGCATGTCTGCCCTTAACCCCCTGGACATGAGGAATCGTCGTTTACCACCCAGGTGATGGCGATGCTACAGAACAGCCGGAAACCTCGCCGCAGGTCTGACGTGAATCATCCATGCGCACAACGGGATTGGTTCAGCCCTACTGGGTTCTCTTGCTTTTCAGCCTATGGCAACCTCTGGGCTCAAACGCAGGCGGCCTGTGGTGACCTCCTGCCAGCAAGGTGTCAGCAAAGGGAGTGAAGGTAGTGGTTCCTCTCCAAAAAGCCTCTCAACCCTTTCGGGGAGGTCTCGGCTCCTCCAGAAAGTCCAGTGGTGCTCGGTAGAGAGACTTCAGGACCTGGAGCTCATGTTTGGCTTCAGGTTACATGCGCTTGGATTCTGGCATCGCAATTGCTGCGAGTTTGAAGGCAAGGCTCTTCTTCTGACAGTTTCTGCAACTGTTCTGACAGCATCCTATACGGCGCCTGTGTGACAAGTACAAGGAACTAGAAGCTTGGATCGTTGTAGGGCAAATTCGGGCACCTTCAACATCTCCGGGAAGCTCGACCGTCCGAAACCGGCCGCCTTCTAGCAAATCTCTGGCTCTTTCTGCCTGCTGCCTAACCGATCTACGCTCCCAGGGATCTACTTCAAGCGTGAGAATGGAAATGACAAAAAATGTTGTGAAAGAGAAATCTGATGATACTCAAAGTATCACTACAGGTTCATGTACCAAGAACTGACGCTAAAAACATCTTTTAGATAACGCTACCAATATTATCGGTTTGCAATTTAGCAAATATGATACAGGCCGTAAACTAAATCAAAGCCCTGGCCATGCTCTTCACAGGGCCCGAGCAGAGCTTTTCGTGGTCAGAAGGTAATCCTTGGTTTGGGTTCCCATTTGACCATGGTGGACCTGAACCCCAAACATGCCCGACAAGCAGACCCACGCAAAAGATGTTCGGGGGGTTCTTTCGCAGGTCGACTGCGTAGTTGTCGACAAGCAGCTGGATAGTGACAGTAGAAAAGGATGGCGCGTGGTCTGGCCAGCCGCAGAATTGGCAGGCATATTGAAACCTTCCATGGACACGAGGCAAGATGGTCCAGCCTGTCACCCTTCAACCACATCTTTGCATCCAGGCTTGAGCTGCCAGGTCAACAACATCAAGAAGTTATTCAACAACCGAAACCGCAGTGCACTTGCAATTTTGACACTCTACGAGCATGAGACTCTGAAACGCTCCGTTGGAAGCTTGCAGAAAACGCCGTGGGCCTGATCCACGATGATTACCTGGAAGCGGAAGGCTTCCGTCAGGAATTTCAGGGTTCTCGAACTTTGCTTTGTGGCATCACTCTCCTGCATCCTCCTGCATGCCCCTTCCTCACAGACGCGGTAGGGGACAGAAACCCACACCTCCGTCCTCACATTCAGTAGACACAGACCTGCAAGGCTTAGCCTACAAGGCCTACAACATACAACTACGAGCCAGAATACCACTCGAATAGCCAGGCGGCGTGGAACGGGACGCGAAGGGACAGCAGGACGATGACTCCCGACACCCAACACCTGGGCTCGACTGGCAGCACACGCACCGACGCCCTTCATTGAAGATGGCCACAAACAAAAATACCAACAGAGAGATCCACACAACATACTGGAACTGATGCCGCGGATGGATTCAGGACTAAGAACTGGAAATGTGCAGTCACAAGGATAACAGTTGCATAGAAGCAAGTAGACGTGATGGATCGGCGCAGCCCTGAAAGTATCCTAAGATGCTGCTCTCAACTTGAGCCCTGAGCGAAAGGCTTGGAAACACGAGAATATTGGCACAGCTAGGTCATGCTAGAGGTCAACTAGCCACGTCAGATGAGCTCGGGGCATACGAAGGTAGGCACACGCCGCATAGAAGCGCCCCAGAACTCTCCTGCAAGGCTTGCTGATGCGGCTCTTGCAGAAACCATTCCAGGATTCCAGGGGGCGATGGCCTGAAAACGAGAGCAGGCTTCGTTTAAAGTGCTTCGACCCTGCCGATCCAAAGGCCTTGCATCTCGAGTCCTCGGGAGGAAGTTGCCCTTTACCTGCACTCGAAGAGTACCATTCCTGGTCGCTGTCTGACAGTCATGGTCCTAGCCGACTCTGGTTGTTCTCACTCCCCACAGCTCGGAGGGCACAGTTTCTGTCACCCCTGGCGCCCCACCCGAAGGCCTCGTCTCCTCGAAGCAGTGGCCGGTCTCATGCCTGTTGCGGTGAAGCCCGAAAACTTGACGCACGGGGCTGGCAACTCAAAGCTCATGACCCCCGTTGCCCTACGGCGCTACGGCCCCACCGCCCCGCGGCCCTGCCCACGGAAAGCTGCAGAAGCCAAGTGTACCCCGGAGCATCACGAAACCCTGGAAACTGGAAGCAGCGAAACTGGCCTGGCTGTGAAGATGGTCACCTGGAGCAAAGAGAAATGCAAAAAAAACAAGTGTGCACGGGTTAGGCATCGTCCACACTGGTGCTTAAGAGCATGGCCTGCATGCTTCAAAGGTTATTGGGTGCAGGGGGTAACGCGACACTCACATGCCAGACCTGCATGCAGTCATTAAGAAACGGTGTTCAGGGCGCGCCCTTTGTCTTTCGGACTCCGGAGCCTCGTGGCCAGCATTCTGCAAGGCCACGGCAGCATCCACAACCAAGCGCCTGAGAGGGCACGAAGGCGAAAGAAGACCCCCCCTCACTCCCTCATCAGCCCTAAGCCCGAAAGCCTCGCAGTGCCTGGCTGGGAACCCCACTCGGCGCCACCTATCCCCAGGTCCGGGTGCACGAACCTGGAGTTGGAGTTTTTGAAGGCTTCAGAGCCGAAGGAGGGTTGGCTGGAGGCCCCAGCTTTGAAGGGAGATTCTTCTGGGCTCCCCAGCGCAACTCTGCCGCGCTTGCCTTGGGCGCCTTGGCTCCGCTTCCGAGATAGGTCTTGAGGTCTTCTGGGGTTATCTGCAACGGTTCCGCGGTGGGATCTCGCTGTGCATCTTCAACCCGAAACCCAAACTCCAACTGGCCAGCTCTGCAATCATACAAGGCCCTAGTCTCCACTTTTATAAGTTTGCAACGCAGCTCGGCGCAATGCAATCGAGCGATCCTTCTAAAGCTCTGTTACAAAAATCACCAGGCACACAAAGGCATCAGTGTCTCACTCCCATCCTGGCCCCTTGGAATAGTCAAGTTGACCCAAAAGCACGGACTTCAGGGTAACGCCCGGTCTCCGAGCTGCGTGAGTCTTTGGCCCGCGAGTCTGACATGCTCAGATGGCGATGGCTTGCCGGCAGAATTCCGACTGGACCCATGGTCAAATCCATTCTCCTACGGAAAACTGGCCGAACTCAAGCCCAGGCGCATAAACAGCAACACACACACACACACACTCACACACTCCCACACAAACAAACACACACACACACACACACACACACACACACACACACACACACACACACACACACACACACACACACACACACACACACAGAGACACACAGAGAGTTTGACATAACTACGTTGAGAAGCTTCGAGAAGCATTGCCTACCGGCAGGTGCCTATTGTCAAGCCGGTGGGATGGTGATTTTGTGTGCCAACATATTCAAGCAAATGCAGGTACGTTTTCCCGGGCACGGCAAGGGAACCCACCGTTCCGGTCCCCTGCCCGACGGGCGATGACCACCTGCACCTGTGTTTGTTTAAAGGTGGTTCATACACGTGAAAAAAAAAACCTAACCAACTCCTCCTACCCACCCCACTTGCCCCGGGCGCCGTGCGCTGTGGGGGTGCTTGACGCGGGAGGATCAAGCCGAGCACGAGGACGATGAGCGCTGGCCTTTTTGTTTGGTGCTACAGCGTGCACGGAAGACACCGAAACTTGACTTTAACTTGAGGATTGAACTCGAGTTGGCCTCGGCCTTGAGGCGTCAAAGGTCAAAGGTTCCTGTGAGACCCCTGATTCCCCCCGGCCTCTCACCCTAATATTGCCCCCCCCTCCACACTTCTCCCGCACACTCAGCATTGTACCGCTCTTGCCGTGCGAAATGTCATGCAGATTAGGGCACTAGATCCTCACGAATCGACCTGTGAAGCGGGGGCGGTCACAGGAAAGACTTCACTGTAACTCTGAGAGCAATCAAAAGAAACCGCTGCAGCGGAGGTTGCAACTCAGAAACGCTCTGGGCAACGCCGGAGTCTTGCATCCCCATCAGGCACATCACCAATTGGGCGCGGAAGCGCAAGCATGTGGGAAGTCAACTACATCTCGACATTGGACTCCATTTGCAAGATATTGCAAGAGGAGGGCGGGATTTGCTTTCTGCAATCAGCTCATCAACTTGACTTGACGAGTATCACCAGCCAGAGTCTTGCATTGTGCTGCGGTGCAAATGTGGACTTCAGTCTGAGTATGTCTGAGCGGTTTCATCTGAGAAATGTTGGTGGCAGTAACGCCCCAAACAACGTCATGCAAGCAAATGACGATGAGCGATTGCTCCCGCTGTCGCTTGTTGTTTGTGTTCGTTCCGGAATCATTCCATCAAAAGGTTCTTCAGGGAAATGCCGAACACGTCCCAACGCTGCACTCACGTGGTAAGAAACCGCTAGCATCGCAACGTCCTCAAAGGAATACGCTATGCAAAAAGCTAGCTTTCGGCCAACAGGACTGCCAGGTTCTGACCTCGTAGCGATAATGAGCCTTCAATCACGAATCTCTTTTTGCATCCCAGTTTGGATCCCCACCCTAGACAATGCCCTAATAGCCTCTGTGCGCCAGGCGCCAGCGGCTTTAAAGTAATCGAGTGATTTGCATTATGTTTTCTCATTCACCCTCAAGACCCGCACCTGGAAGATTGAAGTCCTGGTCCAGCCGAGCTGCGGCACCAACAGCGTCAAGGCCACGAAGACCCAGGCTGCCGCGGTGGAGAAGAGGCTCAAGAGGCCCATCGCAGGGAGGGCAAGATGTCAGGGGCCCTTGGGGATTTGGGTTTTCGGGGTGGCTCTTCGGAGTCGGGTTTCAAGAACAAAGTGCTCCAGGGTTGCGGGCGCTGAGTGCAGACTTCGAGGTTCGAGGGCCTCTCTGGCGACAGACCCTCATGTCCTGAGCGGGAACTGTTCAGCGCTCGAAACCATGAGCTGCGGCCGTGTCAAGCATGTCGGCCAAGGACCCCTCTCGGGCTCTGTCTTGGATGCTCTCACGATGCTCTCCAGCCGCTGTGCTCTGGTCCGCAGGCATCTTAAAGCATTCTTAAATCATCTTGAGCCCCAGGCCCCAGGCCGCATGCTCGAAGAGGCTCGAAGCGATGGAACCTACATCCCCCCCCGATGTCACCTCCATGCCAAGCAGCTACCAAGTCAGGGCTTCCAAAGAGCTTGGGTTTCTGAGCCGCGAAGCCACGGCAAGCACAAAGCCCTTGCCGATTAAGGGTCGGGAGCCTTGGCCTGAGGAAGGCTTCTGATGAAGGGTTGACAGGCAGGGCCCTTGCAAAACCTGAACGCGCCTTTTGAGCTGCAGGTTGTTTGAGCTTCCCTTGACTCAGCAACTCCCAAGCTTCATAGGCCAACTCCCAAGCTTCATAGGCGACCCTCCCGGCCTACCCCTCTGCACTCCCTCGCCAGCATGCGCAAGAACTCTTGGACCCCCTGAGCCGAAGAGCCTGAAGACTTTTGCACGGGCCGAATGCCATCCCACATGGCGTCTACTACATCCGGCAGTCCTATGCCCAGGAGTTGCCTTTGCGTTTAGGATGGCTGAAAGAGGACACACACAATCCCACAACCATGTATAGACTAGTATAGACTGCAAAGACAGGGGCCATGGTCTCCTGGGGCAGGTCTCACATTAAAGGTGTTCCACGATGGCGCAAACTGACTCTGCCAGTATCGGCCAAGCTTGCCAAGCGAGCCGCACCTGCAGCAGGTATCCCAGCTGCGCGCGGCGCAGGGCTTGTTGGATGCACACCGGCAAGGACAGTTCTCAGTCTTATGTCATGTCTCGGTGGTTTTCGGTAGTTCGCGGTCATTGTGAGTTGCCATCCAGAACTCTCCGGCCCAGCATCCTAGTACTCGTTAGCTGAATCAAACAAACACAAGCCCAAGTCAACTTATCGACTTCATGCTTGTGCAGGGTGGCCCAAGACAACAGTTGCCATTCCAAGGCATCTGCAACTTGCGGCAACTATCGATTCTGGCCCTGGGGTCATGGGCAGCACTCTTCACCATGCCACCGAGCAGAGCATTTCTGCAAGGTGTCCCTCAGACGGGTGTGGAAGCTGAATCGTCTCCTTCCGGTGCGTGTGGTGGTCGGGCCTGCACGGATCAGCTCATAAGCGGTGCTGCCGTTTGAACCAATGTTTTCAGCTTGGCTTCAGAACATGATGTCCTGCATAGGTCTAGGTGGGCACCTTCAATCAAGCAGCTTCCCGCCTCCATCCCTTGCATTCTTAGTCTTTCCATTCGTTCCATGGCCGGCGCTTCCACGCGTGGTGGGGGAGGCAGGATCTGGCCGTCCTTCTCGCGGCGGTAGAAGACGGCATACTCGGGGTAGATGGAAGCCTCGTGGAAGAAGATGAACTCACGGAAGGTGCCGACTGCCTTCTCCCGGTCGCCGAGCACGTGCTCGAACTCGCCGCTCAAGACCCTGTCGCTGAAATCGCCGGCCTGCTCGGTGACATAGGACCGGCCGAGGAGCGCGCGGCACACCAGCACAGCGTAGAGGCCGTCGTACTCGCCGCCCACGTCGTCACGAGCGTACTCATCGGCTTTCGTGGAGCTCTCCGCCAGGTAGACGCCGGGCCCAAACATCGTGCCTCAAGGGGTGGGGGGGGGAAGCAGCAGGAAAATCGGCGGAAGACAGGAAGGCAGAAAAAGGAAGGCAGAAACGAAGGCAGAAAGGAAGGAAGGAAGGGGAGATTCGGAAGGATGTTGGGGTGACGGTGGAGGTCGGGAGCCGCCTGCGCTCTTGCCCGCAAGGTTGACCGTGAAGGAGGAATTCAAGATGGCCACGGCGGAGGTCGGGTTCGTGCCGTGCAGGAGATAGGCCTGGTTGGCCGGGTTCCCCACGGACACGTGCGTGCAGCGCTGCGCCAAGCCCGGGCAGGCGTCCGTCGTCTTGGGCGTGGTGAAGGATTCCAGGGCGCCCGGCGTCTTGCAGCTCTCGGAGACCACCCGGCGGCGCTCCGCGAAGCGGTCCCACAGGCCCGGGTGCTCGCTGCGGATGCACTGCACGGCCTTGTAGCGGTCCGCCAGGGGCTGGCCATCCTTGCGATCACGGGTGACCTTGTTCTTGAAGGTCTTGTCCAAGATCTCCTGCATCCATGCCAACTCATCCGGCGAGCCAGGGACCAGCTTCTGGCCGAGAGTCCCAGCAACGCACGCCTCCTCCGTCCAGTAAGGCGGGGGCTCCAAGGGTGGCCTCCCCAAAGGCTCCACGTGGCCGGCAGCCATGAACACCGCACGCCCTCCGGGCCGGTGCCGGAACACCATCTGCATCTCGCGCGCGGTGACGCTGTTAAACCCGCTTGCATTGTCGCTGTTGCATACGATCAAATCCCACTCGCCAACGTGATCAACCATGTAGTCACATAGTCGCATCGTCCACTGACCAATATTGCTCTCGCCGTTCATGAAGCCATCCCGCTGTTTCTCTCCAAGCTTTGCCTCGTGAAGCTGAAAAGGCTGGGTCATCATGCTCAACTTGTACAGCTTGTCGCAATGATCCCGTTTCTCGTATCCAGTCAACTCCCGACCGTCTAGAAAGTCGGTGATGAAAGCGTCTAGCTTGGCATACACTCCGTTTGCGTCCGTCCCGACAATCTCCTTCATTCCAGGCAGGAGGCTTGCATGGGAGCCCAACATTTAAGGCTACAGCTGAGCAGGCTTTGGGGCATTCCGGTGCGGCTCTCGAGTTTCGACTTAGCGCAGCCCTGCACGGGGAATCGAAAAGCGATTGGAGCGCTGCAACATTCGCCTTGACTCACAGATCGACGCAAGCTTGTGTCCTACATTACTGGATACAGCCTATGGCCCTTCTTGAGGCTTGACGAGAACCTTTTCTTCGAAGGTTGTGGTTCTGGAGAGAGACTTGTCTTCGAACGACCATGTGCTATCTGGAAGCAACATGTGCCTTGGGGCTCGAAGTGGCAAAAGGAATTCTACCGGCAGGCACGCGCGCGCGGCTTCATGCACGTTCAGTCCGCAGCTTCCTGTTGGTCAGAAGCATCAAGATGCGACGTACGTGACGTAAAGTAAGCGCGTCACGAGCTCTGGCTCACACGCTCCGTGAGATCAGAACGCGCAGTGCGAGCCTTTCGCGGACTTCATGTTCTGACTGTCCGGTTTAGACTCTCGGGCTTCAAGTGTTGGGACCTGAGTTCGGGGCTAAGACTGCACAGCCCTGGCCTCGCCAAACAGTCTGAACGCAGCCCAGCTTCCACGTAGCTTTCCCAGAGTGGTGGTTTGTGATCCTCTGCCGTGGGCTCCGTCCGGAACTCCACAAGAAGCAAGGGCGCAGCTGCCTTCTCCGGGGACTTCGTGAACTTCACCTGTTGCGCAGCACAAGTCGCGGAAAAGTTCAAGAGGACGGGAGCTGATCGTGCTTCCTCATGAGTTCCCTTCTCGATTGACCTACCACCTCCCAGTCGGGTATCCCGAGACCGCAGCAGACCCGTGAGGAATTCGGACGAATTGAACCCTGTTCAGTGCCCTGGAGTTGACGGCGAGCGAACGCCCCTCCTTCTCCCGAGAACCCGCCTGCTGCTCTCGTACGACTTCCGCATCCAGCGCGAGGCTTCCACCATTGCAGAGCAGCAGTGCCTGGGCAAAAAGGCACGCTTTCCAGCTGGACTAACGGGACAACAAGACACAACCAACATGGTAGCCTGGGGGCAGAGAGATCAACTTGAGAAGGAAATAGACGCGAATCATCCCATCACGTTCAGCAAATTCTGCTAAGTCATGGTTCCTTCAACTCCAGCTGGCTTGCGACTGGCTTGCGAAAGAGACACCCAGCCATGCTTCGCCAGGAAGTTGGCGAGTTCGAGGGTCCTCTGTTGGGTTTTTTTGTCAGAGAAGAGGTGGCAGAGCAGCCGTGTCTGAATCCTGCACCCCTTCGGCTTCAAGCCAAGAGACGACATGCTATGACGGTTGCTCCTAACCTTTCCTCGAAACAGGATGGTCTTGCTGATGCTGCGGGTGGGACTGGCAGGTCTCTTCTGAAAGATGCCCACGGCCTAACTAGTAACTAGGAGCCCCCACATCCGCTCTGGCACATCCCCTGTGCTCCTCTTTCCCAACTTTGTGGCCAAGCCCGGACTGTGGAAGAACTTGTAGGGGCACCTTGGCTCCAAGTACAAGACGGGTGAGCATTGGCGGCGAAACGAGTGCGGCGGTGGAACCTCCGGCTTTCCGGCCTCTGGCTTTGACACAAGCCCCCAAAGGAATTCGGCTCTCACACCGGCATTGGGGGCGAGGGTCCCCCGAATACATGGTCCCCCTTATAGCTGGAGTGAAGTTGCAAGTCTCCACGCAAAGGGGTGCCCGTTTCAGCAGTTGCACTTGCTGATGGGTGGAGTCTGTCGTCGTTTGGGGGCACGGGGTCTTTTGAAGTAAGTTGACGGTGCACTGCAACCCAACTATTGCTGCACATCTGGTCCCCGTATTGGCTTGGGCTCAGACCCTTCCTGCGAACCCGGCATCCCTTTGGGAAGTGCTGCAATCACGCGATGACAGGGCATCAAAATGATCCAAACGAGGGTTTGGATTGCCGAGGGCACTGTGAGGGTTGAGGGCATTCGGGGGTCCCAAACCAGACCCGGCACCCTACTGAGCCCGCAAGCCCTACTGAGCCTGCAAGGAGGGCTCGTTGTTGAAGAGTATGTGCTATATTTTGTGCTTCTTCATAGTATGTTTACTTATGGCATGAGTCATTGTAAGTCAGGGTCCAACACTTGGCTAGGGATCGGGAATACTCAAAGTGCCATCACGGACCCTTCCAGGGTCAACTGGCAGGGTCATTCGAGGCGGTGAGCAAAACGATCCTGTCCCAGAACCCCAGAATGCTGGCATTGCAGCTTCGGCACGTGTACTTCAAGTCGCAGAACTTCTCGCTGCTTTCCCAAAGATACGGTTTGTATTCCTCGCACTCCCACCTCAGCATACCCCTCACCCAGGAGTGCAAAGACCCGCTCTAGATTCTAGATGTTCTAGACTCTAGATGATGCTGTCATGTCGGCAAATTCCCTGCTGCTCTTTTAGACTTATGACATCAGATCTGCGAAACACCCATGTTGGATGTGCATGTCCCTTGCCTCCCTGGAAGCGCACCAGGATCAAAAACAAACCCTGTATCCTGTTCACATGGTTGCGGTAACCGACGTGCGCTTTGATCAGGGGGTCCCGATCCCGAAGCTATCTTGAAAACCCTAACCACTAAGCATCCCTTCGTCTGGCTCTCAAGCTTGGCGGCTTTTTGACGAGGAAGCCGATCAAGTGCTCCTTTTGCTTACAGCACACATTTTTGTTTGATACCTTACATGCGCGCCATACATTGGCTGTACAACGTGCTACCTCCAGGACAAACCCTCCATAGCTCCCCGCATGTACTCAGGCTTTGCAGAGCATTGCAAATCCTTCGTATCACCGGCGTCGTGTAGACCGTTGATCTCGACATAGCCGGCCTGTGAGTGGAGAAGGGTGAGCTCAACGGCCCAGCTCTTTGCGCGAACGCATGACACGCCTGCCCAAACCGCTACCAGCACGTACCCTACCTCGAGGCGCGAACCCTCTGTCCGTCCTTGGGCCCCCTGCCGTTCGAAGTTCCACCATGATGTGGTCCGCCCCATGCTGAACAAACTCCTCTGCGCATGAAGAACTCTTACGAAAACTCCAGGACCTGGCAGCAACCCCTCAATCCCTTCACATCCCTTCAACTTACTTAGGGTCTTGGAGCGGGGATTCCACTGATTCCACCAAGTTGCATCGTTGCGGAAAACCAGCTGCTGCTCTCGCTTGTCGCCACGGCGGCCAAAGTTTCCTGAGGGCCAGGAACATCCATGAAGTGCCCGCGGGGCATGGCATTGCGCTCTGCTGCTTTCATGGTACATAGAGATGCTGGGAGACTATGTCAAAAGCGAACCCAGACCCCTGCTGCAAGAATCTTACACTAACATGCGATGTATCGAACGACAGCCAACCAACAAACCAATCAGCTTACTTCGAACATCCACCTTGATCCTCGTTAAAAAGAAAGAATGCAAATAAGATGCTCAAACAAAGATTCAAATACGCTTTGTTAGTATGTGCTTGCAACTGGGGTTGGGCACTCCAGGGACGCTCTGGGGTTGGGCACTCCAGTCTCTGGGGTTGGGCACTCCAGGGAGTCTCCGGGTTGGGCACTCTAGGGTCTCTGAAATTGGGCACTCCAGAATTAAGCACTGCAGGGTTGGGCACTCCAGGGAGTCTCTGGGGTTGGGCTCCAGGGAGTCTCTAGGAGTAGACCGGGCGAGGAGAAGAGTTGAGTTTAAAATCGAACAACCCCACACCGAATGTAGGGAAGAACAAACATTATCCTCTGCTCGCACGTCCGCTGATTCCCCATGATTTGACTGAGTTGCCACCGTTGCAGGTAACCATGGTCCACTGGCATTCCTGAGGAAGCCGCCGAGGGCAGATGGGGCTGAGGGTGCGAACACCGGGCAGAAATCCTTCACCATGAAGTCCACGAGCTCCATCGTCCGCAGGCCCATGTTGTTCCTGCATTAGTCGGCGAATGTGGGTCCCTACCCAAGACCCCACCTCCAGCTTCTCTAATTTGAAAGAGAGCGGTAGAGAGGGGTAGGGGGGCATCATGAACGAGAGAATTCGCGGGATTGTTTTTGGATGTTTTTGGGGAGGAAGCACCTCCCTTGCAGCCCTGGCGCTCTCCCTCACTTCCACGGCTCTTGAATGCTTTGGTTCGATACTTCATGTCGCAGTAGTCGGGGTCCGCCTGCCGTTCCGCGTAGAAAAGGGTGCATGCCGTTTCGCGCCGTGAGCTGCGTCTTTCGAGAAGGGAGGCACGTTAACCAACGGAAACAGACATCGCTGCCCGCGGACACAGCAAGCAAAGCTCATGTACGATGTCGATGGCCTCCCACCTTTAGACTTCTGATAGCATACGTAGTGCTTGCCAAAACATCACGCAGCTGGACACAGCCATGCCCGCCAACTGTCCGCATGCTTTCAGCAGACATGCGTTTACATGCAGGAAGTGTGTGCGCCGTGTGGCCTTCATTTCAGTTGCATTCCACTTGCTTGTGAAGAAGCTGTTCAGCTTGGCGAAGATGTCCTGTCACAGCTTGGGGCCGAACCCCAAAAGCCCACCCCATAGTCGATCGTTACCACGACAGATCACGCTGCACGTTGCCCCCATCCTGCGAATTGGTCCCGTTGATCTCAATGTATCCAACCTGGCGATGACCGCATCATCGCATCCGTTGCCAAGAGGGGCTGGGGGTGGAGGAATGGGGCTCAAGACAATCCTCATCCGTGTTCCCCAATTGCGACGTGCACTTCTTTGGGCGGTTTTGGAGAAAGGCTCACCTTGAGGGAAAGGCCCTGGCCAACGAAAACCGGAAAGAACCCAGCTTTAGCAGCCTCAGCTTCCTCTTAAGACATCAGATTGAAATCCTGCGCCCTCCCAAAACCCCGTGACCTGGCGTAGCTCGATCATCACCAGCGGGGCCACCAGGTTCAGCGGGTGGGGGGCCTGCGCTCCAGAAGCTTTCGGCTACCACTCTCGGGGCATACCGGGCTCAGCCAGTTCTCTTGTGAATTGGTTCTCGCTTGCCATGAGCTGGTTGCCAGGACTAAAGTTCAAAGGTGCGTTAGGTTTGAAGAGCAAAGGCTCAGGCAAGGACTCAGTTCCTGAACACGCTAGACCTCTTTGATCCCTCGGACTGTTCTTTTGCTGCTTTTGAGCCGGGGCTTGGTATGTGGAGGCCACGATGCTGCAGTTTCAGCTGGGCAACACCCTCTTCTCGGTCGTTTCCTTTCTGCTGTCGCCAGGGTAAAGCCCGACTGAAGTGCTGAAAGTCGCCTTGAACTTCATCTGCTGCTCTCGGATCTCGCCCTTGTAGCCCAGGTTGCTGGCATCACAGACCTGTTTCTGCCAGCTCCACTAGCAACGAGCAAATTGGCACACAAGAGCGCTTCCGAAACGCACTGTCTCTCGCAGCCATGTGGTTGCTGAACACATCCCTGATTGGCGGAGATTGCCCCACAAGATCCCACGTTGCCTGCAGTGTCCAGCCGCACTCGTTGGTCATGAACCGTGCCTGAGCATCAGCAATTTGACTTCGAGGCTCTGCAGGGGCACCTTAAGTCCATTTTGAGGGGCTTGGCCTTTTCAAGCCCAAGCCCTGTACGCCCAGCCCCAGAAAGCGCCCCAAACAAAATCATTTGAGAAGTCCCCCGACGCAACTCGAGAAAGGCTCTTGCCGTTCCTTCTTCGCTGGCAGAGGGGCCAGTTGCATCGTCAGCTTTCCCATGTTGTTCTCCCCCTCTGTGCCTCGGGCCTGGTCTCGGCACGAAGTCACGAAGTCACGAAGTGCCATGTTGGGAAAGCGGCAGGTTTAAGCTTGTAAGTCGACGGTATCACACGGTACATGCAAGGTCTGGAGTATCACATACTGCCGGGTCGTAAACCTCAAACCAGAAACATGGGCTTCACACAGCTCCACCTCAAGCCTCCGCAAAGTAGTCCAAAAGCTCAGATGAGGCAACTCCCTGAAGAACATGCGAAGCACTGGCAGGACACAAGTGCCCGTATCTCAAGATGATGAAAGGAGGGCTACAGCCCGCCTTGAACGTGCCATTGCCGATCGGACAGCCATTCCTCTGTCTTGCAATTCGGCTAAGGGAAAATGGTCAGTTCTCTTGCTTATCGTCCTTATTTTCAATTTCCTGCTGCCACAACTTAGACTCAAGCTCACGAACTGTGAGTGTCTGTTGTGTCCCCTGCGCATCTGCGTGAGTAGATGACGAACATGGAGGCACCAATGCAGACAACGCACACTGTAGTTCGTTCGCTGCCGCAGCACCCTACATTATCCTACTCTGAACACGGCAACCTTCTGACTCAAAAAGGAACCAATACCGACATACGCCAGAAAAACGGTGACTGCACACGGTCCGACCCCAATGCGTGCCGCACGGCCGCTCGGAGGACGTGCTTCTCACCATACCCTGCTTTCAAATGCTGAAAGAGCAGGCAAAAGCCTGGAACTGGTTTAGCGCGCAGTTCTTGAAGGATTTTGGCTGCATCGCCCTGAAGCTGAAATGAGGAGGCAGGTTGCGAGGCCATCTCCCCCATCGTCCAGGAGCGGTCGCACAAGCGATGGTGCTCCTGGCACGGCGATTTGCACTTACCCTGGGCTGAATCACCATGCGTCCAAAGTCCAAACGCATGCTAAGCGCGTCAAGCCTGGTTGTGCCCTCAGTGGGCTTGGGTTGGGATCCTCGAAAAGTGACAGGCAGACCATGCGAACCCCGGTAGAAACGAGAAAGGTGCAGGGGGCAGGGACTGCAGACAATGGCATTGAGGCTGCCGGGGCGTTTTGGAGCCAGTGGTCCAGGCAATCTTGGAGGCCGGCAACTGTAAGCTGCAGAGGGGAAAGTGTGAGTAGCGTCCTTGTAGACGCCCCTTTGGCTCCGAATGCAGAAAAAAGCCCCCAACAAAGAAGACCCAAACTGTCACGGGTTGATCAAACTTGAGCGGCGATGATCTCTGCGGGCATGGTTTTCGCATTTTGGGCGGTCCGAGACCAAAACTAATAGCTGGCCCTTGGGATCTGTTTGTATCAGCCCAGCAGGAAGCCGGAGCTGAGCCAGCAGGCTCAGATACTCTGCAACGCTCCAAGGGCACACCGAAGACTTTGGGTGTGATCCGCCCTGCGCGATTGGGTACTTTTATGTGTGCGGCCTCTCGTCGCACGCAAAACCCAAAATAACTTGGCTTAGGGTCGAGCCTTGGATCTCCTTGGCAACCCTGAGAAACTCACCTCGAACCTCGGAAACCTCGCCACTTTAACCTTGGATCTCTCCTGGGTGATCAGGAACCCCTTGAAACCTCACCGGACCTCACCCTGCGCACCTTGAGCGGCCCAAGGCCGTACCAGGAGTAGTGCCCGCAGCAGCCGCACTGCCTGGTCTGGGAAGCTTCACGCTTTGTACTGACTTCGGAGGAACATGATGTCAAGCACAGGCAGCACAGGGACGGCGATCTTCAGAAAAAGGGCCAAATGGCCAAGCGCTGGCAGTGCGGGGCCGCGCTGCTCGCGGAGTAACTTTTAAACCCTGAGGGTTGCTGTAAGATCCGGCATTGCCTGGACAAGCTCTCTATTTTGGCAAGTTCGCATGAGGGCCATATGTTTTGTCCCCTGCATAGCTGGGCGAACCGCCCTGCGTGTGAACCTGGTGCCTAGCATTCAGGATGAACTGTTCTAGCTCGAGGTGCGAACGAGATGCCTCGCACACTCTCAAGGAGATCTGTTTCCCCAACAAGCACCCAGAAAGACGAACGAACGCCGTCCCTTGAAGCGCCCCGTCGTGACCTGGACACTGGTCGCTTCTCACCTGTGAGTTTCTGGGGCGCTTGCGCCTTGTTTCGCTTGTGACGTCCTTGTCTGTGCTTCTGGCTGCGTGTCCTTGTGTTTCGGCCGACGCTTCGCGCACTGACAGCAGCGTCCAAATCATCATCTGTGCTGATACTTAAAAGCACTTTCGATGGCGATGTGACTTCTTAGGCTTTTCAGCAACAATTTAGGCTTAGCGCTTAGGGTTAGCCCCCTTCGGGTTCCCTTCTTGCTTGGGGCTGAAGGTTCAGCTTTCAGGATTTTGTGTTGAGGGTCCCTCTCATACGATGCTGGCTTGTCGGAAACGACGGGCTCACGTTGTTTTTTGATTGCCGGTCAAGTGCGTAACCACCACTTCTACATGCGCGGACCTGAAACCTCTTGCAGCAGAACTGGCCTGTTGCCAGAGACATTGGTTCAAGACCAAGAAACACTAGTACTCAGCTCGTCTCAAGCCAGGGGCGGACGGTGTCTTTCACACACTTGCAAAAGCCACATCAAGCGCTCTGACCCACACACAGACCCACACACAAACAAACAAACACCCTTGCAGAAGCATCATCGATGCCATCGATGCGTGGGCTGGGGATGTTGCAACGCTAAGGATATGCACAGAAGGCGGGCAAACAGTTGTGTACCAAAGCTATGCCAATCACCAGGGTTGTCGTAGCTCAAAACTTTACGAAATGCTGTGCGGGGGGGGGGGGGGGGGGGGGGGGGGGGGGGGTCTTCGTTGACCGGGACCCCAACCTCGTGACTATATGTACAGGCGTGCACAGACACACTGCTTCTCCTTGTTACCAGTACAACAACAGCTTGCATGACTTCGGACGCCATGTGATACTGTAGCAGCGCGGTATCACGTAGCCAGCCCCCGAACACACCCGACTCCGAATTTTTGCCCACATCCAGCGTTAAGCATGACAATCCTGTCAAGGGGCTGGTCGTTGCTGACTTGCCAGGCGAGGCCATGCTCCTGGAGGTTTCGGGGCTCACTTGCGGCACTTTGTTATCCACCAAAAAAGAAAGGTTTCAAAACAGTTTGGGGTCAGGGTCCGGGAAGTCTGCACTCTCAGCGCTTGATGGCTAAACGCTACGCAATGCATCCGTCCAATCAGCGGTCCCGTTCTGAGAGATTCCATGTTTTCACCAGCCAGTCGTTGAGCTGCTCATAGATGCCACCCGTGTTTTTGCCTTGTATCCTTAGGCCAGCACTAGCGCGACGAGAGTGCACAGAGGAAGGCTTGTGAGCATGGCTTGCTGCAACGTAGGAACAGAATAGGGCTTCTCTTTCACGTTCTTTCTTTGGTTCCTTCTTTCAGGGCGCACGCGGGCCAATACCTGGGAGACCCTGCGCTCTTTCTGTTCTTCTTCTGCTGGGAATGAAGGGCAGAGGGCATCCCCTGCCCTCCGCTCTCGCATTGAACGCCCGCGTTCGTGGTCCGAGTGAGAGAGAGAGAGAGAGAGAGAGAGAGATATAGAAGAGAGAAAGAGAGAAAGAGAGAAAGAGAGAAAGAGAGAAAGAGAGAAAGAGAGAAAGAGAGAAAGAGAGAAAGAGAGAAAGAGAGAAAGAGAGAAAGAGAGAAAGAGAAGGAGAGAGAGAAGGAGAGAGAGAAGGAGAGAGAGAAGGAGAGAGAGAAGGAGAGAGAGAAGGAGAGAGAGAAGGAGAGAGAGAAGGAGAGAGAGAAGGAGAGAGAGAAGGAGAGAGAGAAGGAGAGAGAGAAGGAGAGAGAGAAGGAGAGAGAGAAGGAGAGAGAGAAAGAGAGAGAGAAGGAGAGAGAGAAGGAGAGAGAGAAGGAGAGAGAGAAGGAGAGAGAGAAGGAGAGAGAGAAGGAGAGAGAGAAGGAGAGAGAGAAGGAGAGAGAGAAGGAGAGAGAGAAGGAGAGAGAGAAGGAGAGAGAGAAGGAGAGAGAGAAGAGAGAGAGAGAGAGAGAGAGAGAGAGAAGGAGAGAGAGAAGGAGAGAGAGAAGGAGAGAGAGAAGGAGAGAGAGAAGGAGAGAGAGAAGGAGAGAGAGAAGGAGAGAGAGAAGGAGAGAGAGAAGGAGAGAGAGAAGGAGAGAGAGAAGGAGAGAGAGAAGGAGAGAGAGAAGGAGAGAGAGAAGGAGAGAGAGAAGGAGAGAGAGAAGGAGAGAGAGAAGGAGAGAGAAGGAGAGAGAAGGAGAGAGAAGGGAGAGAGAGAGGGGAGAGAGAGAGAAGAGGAGAGAAGGAGCGAGAAGAGAGAAAGAGAGAAAGAGAGAAAGAGAGAAAGAGAGAGAGAGAGAGAGAAAAAAAAAAAAAAAAAAAAAAAAAAAAAAAAAAAAAAACATTCGCCGATTGCCTTGTTGTCCGCGTCCTCGTCTTGGGAGACCGGCACGGTGTCGTGCACCTTTTTCGGGTCTCGTTGAGGGCTAAGGCCAAGAAAGGCCTTAAATACCTATACCCTAAACCCTAAACCCTAAACCCGAGACCCTAAACAATAAACCCTGAACCCTAGATTTGACGCGTGGCTTTACTGGGTGCGCGGCGAGATTTCCGATGGCACCGAGGAGCTTGTCCTGCCATGCCGGGTTCAGGGTTTAGGGTTTAGGGTTGAGGGTTGAGGGTTGAGAATTGAAGGTTTAGGGTTGAGGGTTGAGGGTTTAGGGCTTAGGGTTTAGGGTTTGGGGTTTAGGGTTTAGGGTTTAGGGTTGAGGGTGTAGGGTTTAGGGTTTAGGGTTGAGGGTTGAGGGTTTAGGGTTTAGGGTTTAGGGTTTAGGGTTTAGGGTTTACGGCCCAAAGCCCTAAGCCCTCAACCCTAGAGCCCCGAACCTCCGATACTTGCAAAGCCCCCAACTCCGAAACTCCAGGCATTTCAGAAGAGCCCAGTCTCCTTTTCGCTGCTTGGGGCTTGTAGGGTTGGGGGGTCCTGGGCCTGGGGGTCAGGGCTTAAGACCAAA